GGAAAACATATGTTCCTCATAAAGTGAACTTTAACAGATTATGAGAAAATCCACATTTTTACAATACTATAAAAACAATGAAACTGAATCTATGATTAATAATTTAATCAAATCTAAGATAATTATGCAGTAAAATGACATCGAGTTTTTCAGCTCTCATGTTTAACTTCTGGGAACAGAACGTAATATGAATATAAAAATTTCTCAACAACAGATAATATAATAGAATTCAGATTCTTAATGAGAGAAAGGAAAAAACTATATACCTATTATTGTTGAGAGTTTAAATTTAAAGAAAATAATATTTAATTCAACTGCTTATATAGGTATATATTAAAGGTTCTCTGTTTTTATAATGTATGTGTTTTATAGTGTAGAAACTGTAGCAAACAGAAATTAACAATATGGAAAAACAGAACAATTATTTATTATTCATTCTTATTAATATATTATTTATTATATCTGTTTTATATGAAATTTGTGTTGATTAATATATCTGATAAGTTATTTTCTTTATTGTGTTTAAAACCTTTATTGTGTTTAAACTAAAGTAATTAAGCTATATATTGTAATTATCACACTATATATAGAAATTTTTTCGCTTTATTGGATCCTGTCAATTACAAACTAAACCCATTTACCCATAGAAATAGAATAGAGTTCAAACAACAGAAAAGTTTTGACAAAATCAAAACATAAATCAAGAAATGCGGAAAAATATAAGAAATAATATTAGAATTCGGGGAGAAAGTATTATTATACTTATAAATTTTTGTAAGTTAATTTTAAAATATATTTTCGTAAGATATTCATTAAGAGACTAACAAGTATTTAGACGTAAATGCAAGTATATAAATTAAGTTATAAATGTGTTAAAATAAATAAATAATTTTATACTATTGCAGGCATATATAAGTAAAAGATATTACTTTGAGTTTAAAATTTATAACATAACATATTTCTTAAGGATATACTTTGGACTTGATATATCAATATCAATAGCGATACTATATGAAAATTGTTTATGAACGTATGTATATATTACTTAAGATATGCGTATCATTGACGTTATAGATAGTTTATGTCATTATAATGACCTTCAAAACTGTTAACTTCTAAACCTTGTAGGCTAAAGTGTGAAAGAACTGGACTAAAACAGAGCTGTTATAGAGTTTCTTTAATATCTGATACCTTTTACTTCCTACATTCGTCACTGGTGGTAACGGTAATGGTACTTGGAGGTTTTCGGGTTAGGCTAAGACCCCTATGTACTGCGACCAGTTTGATCTATTGTGCACCTTCGTCACTGGTGGTAGTATATATCGAATGCGTATGCATCTAAAAATATCATTCAGTAGTATTAACGGGACAATATTTAATAGTAAAACATGCGAATGTAATGTATAAAAGTTATATAAAAGGTTAAATGTTGTACATAAAAAGTTAAATGTGCAACAGACCGCTATTGAACTTGCGACGACGATGAATAGCAGCAGAATGTATTGCATTTACTTTATTGCTATCCTAAACATAAATTTATCAACATTCTATTCAAAAAGGTTTGCAACATTAATTTGAGAACTAGTATGATTTTTAAAATAAGAAACGTAATCTCTATTTCTCTTCCCTAAATCGGAAAGAATGAATAATATGAGACAGTTATTGTTGTTGTAACCCGCAGGGACCTGTAAGCAGATAATATGAAAGGACACACAAGACGATTACATGAATAGTGAAGTGAGTGGGTAGGGGTTAGGGGAGATGAAGGGGAAAGAAGGAGAATGTGTCGAAATTGGATGGAAGGTTTGTATTGAACCTTATCCCGAATCTATGCGGAGATATAAGTCAGTAAATGTCTTTTATATTACAGATGTATTATCTAACCTGAGGATATCTTATTCAACTTTTTTTATAGTGAAAGTTTTGGTATTTCATTTTTTAATAATTATCAAAAGTGTATTTAATATGAATAAACTATATAAAATAATGTATTTAATTGTAGTTTTAATTTCTCTCGCATTTCGATTATGTTACTTATGAATATATTATTCTAAATTAAGAAAGAATTGATGTGCTAACAGTTCTCTCAAAATTTTTATTTTATTGTAACATGATTTATGTATTTGGTTGGAAACAATTTTAATGCGTATACAATATATACCACTAACTAATGGTGATGAACAGGATTCTACAAACTTCATATCATTGTTTATATTTTTGTAACCGACATCTGTACGTCTTTTACGGTAAACATTTTTCTGATTCGGAAACAGTGCATTAAATTATCAAATACATGCTCAACATATCATGAATCATGCTTAACATATAGTGATGAAACTTTACTAATACCAGTAAAGATGGTATTATGTCAAGAAATAATAGATAATATTCCAAATTCGCCTCCTGTTGGAATATTAGTGCACAATTTATAGTAATCATATAGAAATTTTTATAACTTGCTGAGAGTACTCGTGACGTTTGTGTTATGTATATGATTAACTAGTATCAATTAATACATAATTGTTTTTCCAAATGTTTCGGATTTTGCTCAAGTAACAGATATAATATTTTAGCAACAATATAGACAATACTGACATAAGCAATATCCCACAATTTAATTAGCCAATATACTTAGAAATGTAGTTTGCAATATGAGTTTATTATTCATTTGTAATATGAGTTTACTACTTATATTGCAAAAACACATTTCCATAAAAAGATATGTGATATTAACAGTCAATAATATTAACTGACTCATTGGTGGTGGTTCAAGACTTTACCCAGAAATGTACCTAATACAATATTATAATAAGTATTTCTTTCTATGATCAAGTTAAAATATTTATATTTCACAAAATTATGAAATCCAATGAAAGAATTATGGTTAAAATTTTTGGTGTATTCCTACTGGAATACTTCTCTCCTTCACAAGATCATGAACACCAATGGTACTGTTAGTGGAGATCTTATTTACCTGTAGTAAAAACTTTTTGATCATATATTTTCAATACATACTAGCATTGTGACACCTATACAGAATGAAATAAATCATATTAGGTGAAATAATTTCATTACACTTATTGTTTTGACTTGTTAATTGTTTATACATTACAAAATAAAGATATATATAAATATATTATAATTATAATATATAATAATATATATATATTATATAATATATAATAATATATACATTATATAATATATAATAATATATATATATTATATGATATATAATAATATATATATATTATATAATATATAATAATATATATATATTATATAATATATAATAATATATATATATTATATAATATATAATAATATATAATATATAATAATATATATATATTATATAATATATAATAATATATATATATTATATAATATATAATAATATATATATATTATATAATATATAATAATATATATATATTATATAATTTATAATAATATATATATATTATATAATATATAATAATATATATATATAACAATAGCTCAACTTTGACTTGTCTTTGTTACTCTGACAAATTGTAAGATATATTCAAAAAAAATCTCTATCACATATTGTACTTTGAGATCAAAACTAAAGTCACTATTTTATATAAATGGACAAGTACTGTTTCATCTGCATTACCAAACTTCATTAGCCAAAGACACTTCTATGAAACTTTACAAGACCCCAAAATTTTTTTTATTATTTTTATTAATTTATTATGTTTAAAAGCAATATAAAATAACAAGCAAACTAAAGAAAAAATAAAGCGTCACGGTCACGGGTCTTAAGATCAAGTTAAATTTGTCACTATGTGTCTAGAAAATATAGCTTGGCTTAAAATAAAGACAAAAAATGTTGATATCAGTACTTTAATATTGCTCTAACAGAACTTAAATTATATTAGCTTTAACAGTGGGTTAAAAATTTTTTCTTTAGTAATTCAAGATTTTGTATGAACTTATTTTTTTAGACAAATTAAACCTTCGTCAGTTCTAGATAAATATTAATGAACTTCTATCTTCATCATTTAATCAAAAATAATAATAAAAAAATGTGATTTATTTAAGACGACAATATAAACTTCAGTCAATACATTAATGGAACGGTAAAAAATTTCAGTATATCTACCAATTAAATTCACATTAATTCTGATATTACTTAGGCCGTGTGCGAGTTCGAATAAATTGAGGGTAAATGCAGGGAAATAGTAAATTATGTCGGTATGGTAGCGAATGTTGGTATCTACCAGAATTTCGAGTAAAATATATAAAAATTAAATAAATTAAGTGTTACCATTGTACAAATTTTATAAGATGTTTAATAAATAAATAAACCAATTTGAAATCTTTTAACCAAAAATAATAAATAAGTGCAATAAATAAATAAATAAATATTTACATAAGTGCAGTGCAAAAAATCCTCAGGAAATTTTAATTTACTTTACCTCAATTTACTTGAACTCGCACATGGTCTTAAATTTTATATATTCAAAAGTTAATGAAGAAAAGGGCCTATTAGTCTTAAGACTAATAGTCTTATTTATCTTAAGAGACGTAACTTAACATATGTAAGTCAATGAAAACAAGAAATACATCCTTTGTCAACCCATAAGAAGTGTTTATTGTTGAAGATCGGAAGTAATCATAAATAAGTTTTAAATGCACTGAATTAAATCATAATTACTGGTAGTTTTTCTTTTATATATAGCAAAGATACAAAGAGTAAATAAACAACCGTAAATTTAAATAATAATAATAATTTTCAATTATTCGTGTAAATGTTTTTAAATTATTTACGAATCAATCACCGATTAATTTTGTGAAGGTATTAAGTTGTACTCCAAATGGGAGAATTCGTGAACTACATTATATGGTAAACTTAACACATCCTGTATAATTGGATTGGTAAATAATTTTTCGAACTTTTTTATTTTTTGATTTACTTCAAAAGAAATATTACTGATATTGTTTTCGCTTTTTAAGAGAAATACATAACTTACCAGGAGGAGATTTTAACTAATTTTTAATTTATCAAAATAATCACGCATGCTCAACCGATAATTATTGTAATTAATAATTATGCTGCTCTGCAAAACTGCCGACTGCTCTGCTAGGATTGACTTTTCTTAATCTCCCCCGCAGACAGCCAGACAGATAGAGGAAAGTTTGTTCTACACTTTTTTCTCTGGCGCTATTTTTCTTGTTTTCACTTTGTCCGTTCGTTTGGTACGTTTCACCGCTTTCTTCGTCTCAATTCACAAAATATGTACATGTATGTTCTTTGTTTTTGTTGTTGTTTGTTCGGAACCAGTATTTTTTTCTTTCACTACGTTTTTGCTAGTCACTAAACTTGGATTTCACTTTACTTGTGAGCGATATTGAAAAATTATTTTTTTATTTTTTTTTCTCGTGTTAAGAGCCACTGTTCGTAGCTGTGGTGGTATGGTAATGCGATGCGATGGGCACCACGTTTAAAGCAGCAAATGTATTTTGTAAATTTCCTTTTATTTATATAAACATCACTCGAAAGTTATTATTTATACCGAAAATGGAACGGAAAACATTTTCGTAGTAACTAAAAAATGTGGCAGACACTGGAAAACGTATTACGTTATCAAAAGAGACAGTCCGCTGTTTTCGCATTTTCGGATATGTATATTGTATTTGCGTCTTTGATGCAATTGAACTTCACTTTGACTTTCAACAGAACAATAATTTTTTCGTGGTAATTTGTTTGCTTTTGATTTGCTGGTCGTTCGCCTTCCTTTAATTTTCGTTTTGATTATTTATATATTTAAAAAATTTATATATTGTTACCCGTTGCATGAGTAATTATTTTCTGCGTTTCACATGCTTAGTTGTATTATGAGTATATATGTTCACTACAAACGACAATAAGATTGGACGAACAGTAAAATATTTTAAACATTTCTTTTTTATATATATATTTTATAAAAATTCATCAATTCCAAAATGTAAAAGATTTAAATGAGAAAGCGCAAAAAATAAAGTTAAAAACAACAACTGAATGGATGGCCTCGAGTGAACGAAAAGCAACTGCTTGCGTCGTTAACGTCCCATTCCTCTTGTCTTACATGCTCATCCAAAGCATCATGACTGCCGTTGCAGTCAACGTCACTGCCAGCGTTAAGTATTACGCTGCTCCGTTCAAGGGAGTACTGGATTAAAACAAAGAATTTTACACTTTATACAGAATTTTGCGTAGTCTCCATTGACTATTTTCATTCAATTAATTTTATTTCAAATTAAAAATATATTCTGAGTTGGATTTAGTTTTAAAAAAATTTCTCTAAAATTATTGTAGTACAATTTACTTTTCACAACACACATACAAATTTATCATTGAGCACTTCGCGTTGACACAATTTACAAACTGAACGAACGAAAAATTTCTACTTTGACTTCTTTTTTGTTTGGCCTACTTTAGGGGAATTTCTTCTAATCATTAATTTACTTTTATTTATATATATATGTAAACGATAATATTTTCATTAAATAATTAAAAACTAAATAAATTTTACATTTAAAATACAATTAAAAAATTAGTAAAATTTTCACTACTTCATTTTCACAAAAGCGAGACGTGTAGAAAATGAATGACTGAATGTAGAAAATAAAAAATGATATTAAAGTAGTCTGTTTCGTTGAAACCGCAACGCACTTAATATCGGTGACACAAAATGCAGGCTTGCATGTTTTCATACACTTAAATTAATTTATATATGCAATCTATTGCTACTATGTGCAGTATTATTAGTATGATATTAAAAAAAAAGTTAAATTCTAATATAAAAAAATTTTTATTTCGCAAAATAATGTTAAAAATATATTATTTTAATCATATTTTAAATAATTTTTAATTCACTTTTCAACACTGATATTGTACAGCTGATAGCAAAAACAACACTAATATTCTAAGAAGCATAGTACCGTAGAGTTAAAAACAAATTAATTATTATTTTGTATTTTGTATATATAATATAATGAAATACAACAACTAATAAAAATGAATTTAGAATTACTAGGTAAAAAATGATTTATATATAAATGAATAAATATGTTGTAAAACTAATGGAAATTTCATTTTTAAGAATCTTTTGGGCAAAATTTTCCGGAAGAATTTGACGGCTCTTTGGATTGTATATCTTTAGCTGTTACTTGCGCCTTTAATAAGTATGGTACACTTTTAGCAGTAGGTTGTAATGATGGGCGAATAGTTATCTGGGATTTCTTAACGAGAGGGATTGCCAAAATTATTTCTGCACACGTGCATCCAGTTTGTAGTTTAAGTTGGACACGAAATGGACATAAAGTAATTTTGAAAAATAGTACTAAAAGCTTTTTCCTAAAATTTGATATTTTATTAAATGTAAATGTTTTAGTTATTATCTGCTTCAACTGATAATAATGTGTGTATATGGGATGTGCTCTCAGGTGAATGCGATCATAAGTTTCGATTTCCATCTCCAATTTTAAAAGTGCAATACGATCCGCGAAACGATCAGCTTTTTTTAGTTTGTCCAATGAGATATGCAGCTGTTTTAGTAAAAGTAAAAGAATTTCATAAATGTTTGCCGATAGATTCGGATGTAAGTAGAATATTTTATTAACAATTTAATTAAATGATATTTTCTGTGCTTATTTTAGGGCGATTTGAATATTGTAGCATCATTTGATCGTCGTGGTAAACATATTTACACTGGGAATGCGAAAGGAAAAATTCTTGTCTTAGATGTAAATACTCTGGACATTGTTGCAAGTTTTCGAATAATTGTAGGCTCATCAAGCGCTACTGCAGTCAAAAGTATAGAATTTGCTCGAAGAGGAGAGTAAGTATTTTTAGTTCTACTACAATATGAAATTGAAATTTATATTAGTATATTATATTTTTTTTAGTGCATTATTAATAAATACGTCAGATCGTGTAATAAGAGTTTATGATTCTAAAGAAATAATTGCGTTGGGTATAGAAGGTGACCCGGAACCAATTCAAAAGTTACAAGATTTGGTGAATAAGTAAGTATATTATTAAAGTATATTCTTTGAAATGGTTTTGCAGTCTATTTTGAACAAGTTTTTAACAAATAAAATGTTTATAGAATTTGAGGCATGACAATTAAATTGAACGTTTTTTGAATTATAATTTTTTTGTTACAAAACTAAAAATTATATTATTAATTAAATATTAACAACAAAAAATTTTAAATCTCTATTTATTAACATTATAAACAATTTTAATCATATTGCTATCTGATTAATATTTATAAAACATTTATATTGCATGCAACAATTCTTTTTACACGTTTTGCATTAGTATATAATTAGATGCACTCAAAATTTTTGCATTAAAATAATGAAATACTTAGAATTAGTATATTATCTTTTTTTGTACTCTGAAACTTACTAAGTAATAATCTAGCAATAACGATTTTAGAAAAGGTATCAAAGGTTTTCAGTTGGAATGTGATTAATAATAATATTATATGTTGTTGTTGTATTATATTAAATTGTTTTCGCTGAGTAATCAATAAAAGCATTATTTTCTTTCAAATAAAAGAAGGATGTGTTTAGCCTACACAAAAGTCCAATGAAACAATAGGACCGAAAATATATATTTTCAGCAAAAGTGAAATATAGTTCTGATTTCCTGCTCTAATTTGGAAAAAATGAATTATTTAAATAATATATTTATCCACAAACCATTAAATAAATAAAACTTTTTTGTGAAATTTTGTTTAAAAATAAATATTTACAAATTTACAAATTTGTTTTAAATATTTACAAATTTATAGAAACAAAAAAAATTATTAATTTGTTGAAATCACAAAAACACTTAACTTTGCAAATTCTAGTAATTAGTATTTTTATGTATTTTTTTTATTTGAAATTAAGCAATCTGATTACATCAACGCAACAGATCAATACGACACAAATTAGTTAATTTCATTAGCGAAAATTGCTAAAATTAATTTTTTAAATTTCATTTAAGGAAAAAAACTCACTCGCACACTTAGTCCATATTTTACCAAACGCATATGTATTTGTATTGTGATTGTATGCTATTCATTATTTCCGCTATATGCATAAATTTTAAATTTTATTTGCATTTTTTGAACTGTTTTTATTTATTTGTTTATGATAGCAGTAAAAAAATAATAAGCAGGATAATAAACAATTTGTTTTTCAGAACGACCTGGAAGAAATGCTGCTTTTCTGGAGATGGAGAGTATATATGTGCTGGAAGTGCCCGTCAACATGCATTATACATATGGGAGAAATCCGTCGGAAATTTGTTAAAAATTCTTCACGGTACCAAGGGGGAACTATTGCTCGACGTAGTTTGGCATCCAGTCCGTCCTATCATAGCCAGTATTAGTTCAGGATTAGTGTCGATTTGGGCACAAAATCAAGTTGAAAATTGGTCGGCTTTTGCTCCAGATTTCAAAGAACTTGATGAAAACGTTGAATACGAGGAGCGTGAATCAGAGTTTGATGTAGAAGATGAAGATAAGTCTGCTAATTTAAATGCTGATGATAAATATGATGAAGAAACTGAAGTAGACGTACAAAAAATTGAGCCAGTAGCAGCATTTTGCTCATCAGATGAAGATGGTGAAGATGAAACTGCTTTACAATTTTTACCTATGGCTCCTGAAGTGGAAGATCCTGAAGATGGTTGGCCAATACAAGATGGCGCCGAACCGACTATACCTAAAGAAAGTGAATCAACAACACAGGATTATATTGAAATGGGTGCAAAAAAACTTAAAATGAGTACACACGATATTAATTTGCCAGATGCCCCAACAGATGGTAACTTACTTTTTTTGTGTTTATAATATAAAATACAAAAGTTTTTTTATTTTTTTGTCAGAAACGCATCCTCTTATTTCAAGTAAAAATAATAATAACAAACAACCTGTAAGTGGAAAAAAATCGGCCGGAAGACCTAAAAAATAATATACACCTCATAATATAAGTTATTTATCATTAATTAGGTACAAAATTTTTAATAAATTTATGAACTTTATTATAAACTAATATTTATAATTATTCGGATTTTTTATCCATCCAGCAAAAAGTAATAAGTTTGTTTTCTTTTCCATAATTAAATAAATAAATGGACGGTTTAGATAAAACTTGGGTGGAGTTGCTTTATTAGCAAGCACTGATCCTGTAATAGCTGCAGCTGTTGTTCCTTCTTCGTCCACAACTATTTTTGTTGTGTGGATTATGCTTGATACAAAAAAGTTATTCGAAATTTTTGAAAGATTTGCAACGGCTGGATCAAATATATCATTCATGCCCATCTAAATTTAAAGTATATTTATATAAAAAATTGTGAACAATATTTAATATAATATATAACTTGCCTCTTGTAAAATTGGCATCATTTTAAAATCAGAACTTGTTGAAAATTTAGGAAACAGTACTTCAACATTCTCCTCTTCGTAGCCAATTTTCGACTCGTTCAGTTTTTGAAAAATGTTTGAAATACCATAGCTTCGTAAATTCTGAACTACTTTATGCGTAGTGACCCCTTACATATATATCAAAGTTTATATGTTATTCAAGTTATTTAACACTATATATAAATTATTTTTACCTTTTCTTGGAAGAATTACTAACATTGATAATCGATTTTCCTTTCCGTATGGAAGCTCTAGAACATGAGCTTCCAGTTCATTAATGCCTGCAAAGTTGAAATTCGCTTCTTGTACCATCATTGAAACCTCACCAATTGGATTTCCAGATTCATCATAAAACATTTCCGGACGTGTAATAGTTCTATTAAAGGGATACTAGAATAAATATTTTATATTTATGTAGATAAACACAATTTTATTTCAATTATTTTTTAATAAGTACCTTCCATTGACCTTTGAAAAATAAAGATGACACCAGAAAGGAATTAGCATTTTCTAAATCTTTTGAAGACACTGTGTGATTTATTAAACCTCTTGTAGCTTCTTTAACCAATTTATTAATTAGATTAAAAGTAGAGACTACATCATGAAAATCTGTTGTTATTATAACCGATCCATAATAGCGTTCAATAACGCTCTCGAAATCTCGATCAACAGGTTGGTTGATATCAGAAAAAACTGCTTGCAAACTTGCTACTTCAATAGTGTTTGTATTGATGCTGTAAATGTCTCAATTTATTTTTAAAATATTAAAAAAGATTATAAAATAATTACGTGAGATATTTTTGTACTACACTAAACGCATTTCGCAGTGCTTGTTGGTCAGTGTCAATATGTAAAGTTTTTCGCAGTTCGTTTAATGTATTGCCAGCAGATCCTTCAACTAGGAGCAATAATAATGCCCAAACAGAAAATGGTGATATCATTAGATCTGCTTTTGCATTACTACGATCAAAAATTTCAGAGAACTTCGTGAACAAATCCATGGAAAATTGTTGAGCACCTTCGGAAATTTTTCGAAAACTTTGCAGCATTGCCTGTGTAGCAGCTGGAGAAATTGTAGAAGACTGCAGTGTGGAAAATGTTGGGGGACCACCGAAGTTTGTAGGTTGCAATAAAGAACTTGGTAATGTTGATTGTTCCCGGTTTGAAATGGAAGCATCGAGTTGTCTTGAAGTTTGACATAAAATTAATGATGCGTTTATTGTGAAGAGTAGAATGCATATAAAAGCTATAAAAATTAATATTATTATTAAATAGTTTGAAGACTTATATAAATTTGTTTATAGAAAGACTAACAATAACACAAATGATAATTAAGGCCTTCAGCTGAGACTAAAAAGAGTATTAGAAACTAACAAATAAAAATAGGTATAATAAATGTTCAGAATAAATAAAAATAGTTGTATATATTTTAATTATAATAAGATAAACAATAAATTATATTATATGAGATGTAGTATTTTTCTTTTAAAGTATTAATAAGAACACATGTTAGATCATTATCATTAGAAATAAATGAGAGAACTAAATCAGAGTTTGAGAAATACTTTTTCTGATCAATAGAACCAATCAGAAGTGAGCAAAACAACTTCAATTGGTATACATTTTCTATAACTTATTTTTTGAAATTTATATTAACGGACTATAAATAATTTACTCTTTAAAAATATTATTTAGAAATAAATCACACACAGTAAGTTCAGTAAACTTTGATTGTTTTTTAAATCGCAGAAATTTTAAATTATTAGTATTATTAGCTACAATTAATAAATCAATTTTCCTAATTTTTACTTATAAATATATATTATATGAATTAAGTTAAATTCGATTTTTGATTAATAAGAGCAGAAAAGAAAGGAAACGAAGAAGAAGACTATCACCTCTTATTAGGTGTAATTAAAAGAGTAAATGTTTGCTCCTGACATTGGAGTCCGTGGGCCTCCAATGTCAAGTTTATGTCGTTACTTTTAAATGATATCCTTTCTAGCTAGAAATATGTAAGAAAAATTTTGATTAGACGATATACAAAAAACTGTCTTTTACTTTATTGTTTTTTGTTATTTTTCGAAAGCTAATCTATGAATGTCCTTTAAAATTATAAACAATTATGTTGTGAATTCTAAAACATACATATATATAATTAATAACAATATTTTTTCCAAAACACAGATCAAAAATTATTTTAAAATTTTAGTAGTTTTTTATATAAGAAAGAAAAAAATTCAAAATTTGTTATGAATTTTATATTTAACAGCGATAAGAATTGTCAAAAATAAAAGAATTTAATAATCACACAAGGTCTATGTAAATGTTAAATAATATACATTACATATAAATAAAAAATGTTATAATTAAAAATTCTAATCTCAATGTTTTTCCAAATGCACTTTAGAAATGACAAAGATTTTTGTTGCTTTCACTGTAAGATTAAATATCCCTATGTAACCACCTATTTTCTCTTTAAAATCAGACAATCTTTATTCTGTGCACTTTAAGTGAGGTAACGTTCCTGAAAGAAATTTTATAATATATAAAGTGTAAAAAAGTATCTGCATTTGTATTTTTAAGCAGAAAACATCGAAACTATGAGATTATTGGAGGTATTTTTTAATTTGCTAGAATAATAACAGTTGCCGGGTTCAATAAGATGAGATTGAATGGTTTCTGCAAATTTGTAATGTATACACATTCAATATATCAAGTCAATATTGAATGCTTTCAAAGTATTACAATATAAGCATATTGCGTATATGAATATTTCCCCTTAGCAGGTAACGGGTTAGAATAAGCCTGAGGTAGGCATGCCTGTCGTAAAAGGCAACTAAAATCCTGGTGCTATACCGTCACTGTTTTGGAGTGTACATGGTAGTAAGTGACATGGTACTTGCGATACCCGACCGGAGGTGTAAATCTGGTACTACGGGGGTTAGGTGCCTGCAGCTTCAGCTGTTCTAACCAAGCAATGATTCGCAAAGTCGTAGTGGCTGTGTTTAATACCCAAATGTATGCGGGAAGATTGATCGGTATTTGTTTATCATTCACTTGGCGTGAAGTTACGTATTCACCACTGGATGCTGACACCCAAAGAACAGGAGAGGTATTGGTAGGCTTCGGTCCTTATCAAATTATGTTCAAAGCACACAACTTCATTGGAACAACTTCAGCGGAAAATCATTAGAATTATTTTGATTAATGAGTTTGTGGGGCACCGTGGTCTTAAGCTTTCAAGGCAGGTATCTACGCTAAACAACACATTTACTGAGTATATGAATAGTTTACGATCGAAAATGTTTTAAATACTTTTAGATTTTATATTGCTGTATGGCCTTATCTAGGATAGATAGTGACGCAATATAAGAGAAAGCTAAAGAATAAATAAAGTAAAATTATTTGTTCTTTAAAATTGGTCATGTACATTGGGAATGTCATCAGCAAGGTAGGTCTTTAATAACGTAGATTTCAAAGTCTGTCTAATATACTTATATACTATTGAATATATGTATATAAGCATTTTTATTTTTTATTAAAATGGGTAAAGTTTATTTTGATTATTTGAGCATTTATATATATTTAACTATAAGCAGCCTTTTTAATTAGCATAAATTATTTTATAAACTGGGTAAAACCAACACTCAATTTTAAAATATACGAGTATTTCTTTTGACATTTTGCGTAAATATTTAAAATACGTAGAAACGAGAAATTTGAGTCATTATCAGAGAAATACACAATCGATTTAGTTTATAAGTATATGAATAAACCTTATTGTAGTATAATTAAGGTGAATTTTTTAAAATTTCTCTGACAAACGTTATTTAAAGAATGTGAATGATTAACTGACTACAGGTGGGTTTTACTATTAAAAACATTATTCAAGAAAATGAAAACTTATTGTAATAATAACATAATTTGGTGTCATTTACCTTGACTAATCTAAAAGTAAACGCAATATAACTTAACATCAATTAACACCTAATGGAAGTTCAGAAAATCTATACGAATTAAAACTTTCTGCACTAATAAAAGCCATAAAAAAAATTTACAATTATTTTTTATAATTGTAGAAATTTTTACTAAAAATTTAACATTGAATTTTTTATATGTACCGGGATCCTGAGTGCAAAAGACGCATTTATTCTAAAAATTCTTGTCAAAAAAAGCTAAAATATATCAAAAATCAAATACATATAGTATGCTCATCTAAATAGTTTAAATCTAACATATACTTATTTTTAGTTTATTGATAAACTAATTCTATCTATAAACTAATTCTATAATTTGTGAAAATAGTGAAAACATATATTTCTATATATAAATGTTCTTGAAAATTATAATGGTTCAAAGTTAATTGATATATTCATATAAATCTTATTAAGCCCCAATTTTTTGTTAAATATTTTCGTATATCAATAACTTTTAAGAAGATATTATACTATTATAAAAATTTATAATTTTTAACAATAGAATATTATATTTATCGTGCTTCATTTTCCTGTAATAAGCCTATGAAACGGGTTATTTACCGATTTTTTTTTTCGTAAAAATTAATTTTAAAAAATAAATACATCGTTGTAATACATCGTATATAAACGACATAATAGATGAGAAATTCTTTAATAAAAGTTTAAAGTAAGTGCGATGAATCGTTTTTGTAATAGCTTAGATTTTTCGACAAAAGATTTAATTAATAGAGACTACTCTTTGACACCAAAATTCTCGGTAAATATTAAAAATTCCCAACCGCAAAATTTTGTTGTTTCTTTTATCAAGAAATCAACACTGAAATTTACAAAAGTTATACAGAAAACCCTCTGTATATAATTATATTGCAGATTTCCGTTTTTTCCCAGATTTTTTATCAAATGTGTGTGCTAATTAAAATATTATGCTTTAAAATATTTCTGTGAAAATTTTTATACATAGGTACAATGTCACTTTCCAAAAATGCCAATCTTCATTTTTGGACTCACACTTTTTGAGTTTGTCTACTAGTAACTCTTTCTGAATAAAAGAAAACTTAGTAAATAGATCTTAATAGACAGTAATTATAAGCAAAAGTTTAAAATAACCTTTACTTTAAATCACTTCTTGGACATATTTTCATAATATGTATAACAAAAGCTAGGCATATATTTCTAGTATATGATTTTTGGTTATTATGGTATATTTCTAAATATGCTTAAATAGTTAAATTGGGTTTACACAAACATAATCTTTGATCTGGAGTTCAAACTTAAACTATTAAAAGTAATACAGTATGCATAATTTTTATATTTGTAATTGTTTTTGAACAATTATTCGAAGAATAGACGTGTCTTGAAATAGTAATAGACAGGCTGAACAAGTTTATTTTTCACATATCAGAATGTACATATTGTCATATCTTGATATGACGACAGTGATAATTACATACTTGTATTTTAATTCACTTAATAACTAATATGAAAAAATTTGATTTCTATTATTTGTCTTAAATTTGGTAAAATATTTCTTTACATCTTGTATAATTGCTAAATGTTGGGTTGAAGCAAGGGTTATCTGTTAAAGCACCTAAGCTTACTTTATCGCTTTTAAATATTAGTCCGTCCGAAACAGTAAATTGATATTTAACTTTAGAATTTTTGTTGAAATATCTCCTTAAGGTCTTCTGTATTTCGATGTGTATTTATAATAAATAAATCTTTAAAAATACCTATGGAATACAAAAACTTCCACATTTGTTTTATTATTTATTGATAAAAATAAGGCACAAATGTTACACTAAAACAATAACTTACAATTGAATTATAATTTTTAATTTTAATAATAATAAATTTAAATAATAATAATTTTCTAGAGTAATAGTCTTGAATAGTAATAATAATAATATTAAACAGTAATAACAATATTAAATTATAGTAATAATAAGGTGTAAATAAAAATTTTATGTAATAAGAATATTTTTAAATAAAATTTTTTTTAATAATAATAAATAAAAGTAAAAACATTGGCGCGGAAGTTTTTTAAATTACTTTAATATTATTTAACTTCATAAATTATTTTTTAAATTTACCTTTGTATAATGCCATTTTTATTACTTATATTTTTTAAAATTTTTTTTTTTTTTTAATTTTTATTTGTTCAATATTTTGAATTATTTTTTGGAATACACTTTTCGCGAATTCAAATTTTAATATTTTATTTCGCACAGTATCTCGTTTATGACGAACTCGTCATTGGGAATTTTTGTTTTTATAAATACGTATAAATACTTATAAAGCATATAAAAGTATGTACGTAAGTATAAGTATATTGTTTTTTGATTTAGTTTAAATGACTAATAATCAATTATGTATACATGTATATAGGATTTTATATGAAATTCTTTTTTTTATTTTATGACAATAGCAATGTTAAAGAACGAAAACCAATCTACTAGGCTTGTTAAAATGTATACAAAAATATATATATTATATATATATATATACTACTCCTATGAAGAGAGTATAAATTCTATTTTCAACTCGCGTTTAAAGCGTCGAACTATATTAACTAAGCGCCGCACATCAACTGAAATTTAATACTAGTTTTTTTTATTAATTCTGTTGAGATTTGCGTTCGATCACATAACGCCTGGTTGGAAATTCTATGCAGATAATTTATTTCAGAATTGAAACACAAGTATTTCAGAGAGGGAGATAGTATCTGCTATCGATGCATGGCTGGTCAAACGAAATCTTTCAATTTCAAATCTAAATAAAGCAATATTCATTTGAATTTTCATATGTTTTCTCATAATTAAATAAACACGTATAATTTGTTTTCCAACTGGCTCACTTATTTTTAATACGAGATAATGTTGTTTTTTATTTATTGAGAGTTATTCACATATCAGCTTGTATTTATACGATTAAAAAAAAAAAGACATCGAAGAAAAAAACAAAGCTTATGACGCTCGACCCATCGCTCCGAACTTACTTAAAGCTTCATAATTAATACACTTGATTTGCTTAAACCAGTTTCTCCAAGCATTTCTTGACTGAGACGCTTCATAACCTTTGGATTAACATGTGAACATACGAATTCAGTTATTTGTTACAGTTTTCGATGTGTTGAGATAAGTAATACCACAGACAATTGTATTTATTATAGATTCAAGCTAGAAATGTATTTATCATTGTACTCTTATTTTTCTGATGATAATGGGGTTTCCCGTAAGATATCATTTAAAAATGTACATATGTATGTACACTGATTGCGACTAGGGTGAAACACAATCTTTAACTTTATATATTTTTATATTTATCTTAAATGGGTGAATAACTAGTTTTTTGTTTTAAATTTTTGCTCTTCAAATTTTATCAGAATTTTGGAAATACATACTGCAACCACAGAAATCAAAACTTTTTTTATTGTAAAAAATTATAAGTATAATTATTTTATAAATTTTATGTTTTTAACACTCAAAGAATATACATTTTTTTTAAAAATCCACAATGCTATTTTTAAATACAGTCAAACTTCCATAACTCGAACTTCTATAACTCGATCCAAAAACAGTGCACCAAGGTTTTAGAGAGCAAATTACATACAATTCTGCTTCCATAACTCGAACTTCTATAATTCGAATTTCTCTATAATTCGAACAAAAATATTGTTCCGTGCCGATGGGAAAGTGCATTTTATAAGTCGAATCTTTATTTTAAGTATAGGGGAAGCCCCTTTTTCCAAACCAAATGTTTAAACTTTTCTTTCTTATAATATGTTGCTTCTTTGTGCAATTGACAGTCGCTGGCATCGTAGTTTAAAGTAAATAAAATAACTTCCAATTCTACTCCTAACGATTATATTGAGCTTGACAATTAAATTTGTACATCAAGCTTTCCTACAGATGACGATATTATTGAGCATTATAGCTCTGAATTAGTGGATCCGATTCTAAGTGGAACGGAAAATAATAATGAGGGTTTGGTGGATGTAAGTGTTCATCAGCCTTACAAGAATGAAATAGAAGATTTATTCAAAATTCTGAATTTATATTTGCAAACGAATGATACACCAACTGATGACCATAGTGTCTTGAAATAAATTGGGATCTTTTTTTGCTTCACTATTTCTTCTGTGTTGTATTTAATTTTATATAAATAAATAAATATCTTAAAATGTAATTCTATAGTAGTTTCTTTCAAAAATAAAAAATTCTCTAACAGGAAGTCTTCATAAGTCGAACCTTTTCTTTGCAAAATGGTATTTCAAGTTATGAATAGTAGTGTTTGAGGTCGTGCTGAACGCTACACACCCATACAGAAGTATTGGTTGAATTATTTGGTTATATATCAGCTTCCTATTCTTAGCATTGAAATTTTCATTTTTGAATAAATACTTTTATATACTTAAATATTATAAAAGAATTAATTCTAGTGAATAACATTTTCAAATTCAAACAAAACAAGTAATTATTTTTATCTATCTCAAAAATATACTTGAATATATCTAGCAGGTTGAGGAATATATCTAGTTGGCTATCTTCAATTAGAGTTGAGATCTGTATCAATAACATTACTTTAAACATAACAGCAATATAAATAAAATACTACAATCTCAATTTAGTACAGATGTCAATAATGTTATAAATTCCACAATCCGCATCCCACTGAGCTAGCTATACTTTTTGAGAAACTACTGGTTTGCAAGGAAACTAAAGCGGTTTTTAAATTAAGAATAGTCGTGATATCACAATTAGCCGTTATTTTGGCTAAGTTGACTTTGGTTTGCAAGACCGCCACTCAACACTGACCTAACCAGTAGAAAAGTAAAAAATGTAATCAAATAAAAATATTAAAATTTAAATTATATAATAGATAACTTCAATGGACACCTGGTATCCACACCTTTCTGGGACCATTTATAAAACAATTGTAAATAATATACACTGGTTAAATTTTGGCAAGATTTTTAAATATTATTTTCAAACAAACGCTTGTGTTAGTGAAAAAGTGAGAATGTAAAAAAATGTTTAAAAGTCTAGCCACTGTAGACGCTGGTCTACATATAAGTTTCCAACGCCAACAACAAACTGGCAACTATATTGAAAGTTCAAAAAATAGCTTTTCCTAACGTAAAATCAGACTTCATCTTACTAACATATTGAATTAAATTTATTTTTTTAAAGTTTCAATTGGAAACACTGGTTCCAATTGATCAGTTTAAATTGACGTCTTTAAATTTTGCCAATTCCACTAATGTTCACAGTGTATTTCCACAAAGTCTACGTGAAATCTAGTCTAGTCCAGTCATACCTGAAATCTATTGATTGTTACACAATATCTGTTGTAGAAAATCAGATCATAAAAATCTATACTTCTCTTTTGGCTTTGCTTATATGCCACAGCTGTTTTATTTATTTAGTTTCTAAAAATTGCTTCTGTTAACTAAGTTTAGATGTTGACATAACTAGAATTTTAGACTTATACAACCTTGAAAATTAGAAACTACTCCATGACTTGATTCTGAGTATTATTTTTATTGTTATTAAGTAAACAAAAGTTTTAATTTTAGAATACAGAAATAACATTTTCATTCCTATATATTTATATTCCTATATAAAAATTTCAGTTCGCCTCTATCGGCTATTATTATTATTATTATTATTTAAAACCAGTAAACCATATTTTCAACTTTCAAATACCATTTGAAGAATAGGTCAAATATCCTACTTAAATATTTTCAGTAAAATAGATGGCATAAATTGGAACACAACACAAGAAATCCATTTATATCTAAGGCCGTGTGCGAGTTCGAGTAAATTGATGGTAAATTTTAGAAAAATAGTAAATTATGTCGGTATAGCAGGGAATGTTGTTATTTACCAGAATTTCGAGTAGAGTAAATTAGATAAATATTAGGTAAATTTGGTATTACCATTGTGAAAATTTTATAACATGTTTAATAAATAAATAAATAAATTTGAAAACTTTTAACCAAAAATAAAAAATAAGTGAAATAAATAAATATTTACATAAGTGCAGTGCAAAAAATCCCTAGCATATTTTAATTTACTCGAGCTCGCACACAGCCTAAATATCCCTACAATCAATATAAAACAATGGAAACAGGAATTCTGCATATATGTATACAGGTTTAGAAAACACATAAGATGTCCGTCACAAAGCAAGCCGAATAATTTAAAAAGATAATTTATATTTATAGAATTTAAAACGAACATTTGAAACAATGAACAAGTATATTATTTGAAAGAAGTATTTAATAGTTAAACATGACGGTATAGAGATCAGTTTATATGGTTTATATGGTTTATACACATCTACTGTTCAAGATTTTCATAATGTAAAATTACGTGAATAATATTTGGGCTCATTAAGCTAAGCGAATTCCGATACCGACTGCCATTTTAATCCGTAACAGTTCACTTGAACTTAACTACTCGAGAGTTAAGGCATTGCCTGGGTGGATAGCTATGGTTATTTGAAATGTTAATGATAGTTTATTTTGCAAAATCATGTCTGCCATCACTTAAATTAGCATTATCGAAGCATTATTTTAACTCTTTATATATCTCTTTGATGAGATTTGAAGCAGTTTATTTGTGATTTTCTTACAAACGAGTGCTCCAAAAAACATTAAGTCACTAATTTAATTATTATGGAAATGGCTGCAACAAGGTCTATATTGTGGTCGATTGTTGAACGTTTTTTGATAGAATTTCATAGTTAAATTTGTGCGAATGTGGTGTGGTGATGTGGTAAACACTACTTATAAAAAAGTGGAATCCTGTTTTAAGGTACACTCGAACTTAATATTAACAAATTTGTTCAAAATCGTCAGACTCATCCTTCACATTATATGAGTTTTAAAACTTAGACTGAAAATAAAAGATTGTATAGATATTATGATTTGCGTTTTAATTGCTTTCATTAGATAGAAAGATTCAATCTGAATTTGTATATTTGTTCGTCCAAATTTCCAGTTACCAACTAATTACAGCTTTGTCACTGTTATGGTTTTATAACCGTTTTAATACTTATAAACCCATGTCCTCAGTGTATTGTCTAATGACAACACTCAGACATAGTGAAGGCTAATCACCGGAGATATGCCGGTGACTAGATGAAGATAGTTCTTTCTCCCAAATCATTGTCCACTTTAATAATAATTTATATATATTTTATATTTATAAAATTATTAATTTCTAATTAATTAAATAAATTAATTAAAAAAATTATTTATAATAGATAAAAATAATTCTTTCCCACAATTTACTTGGCCCTACAGATTATACTCTATGTGATGGCATCTCTTACCCCCAAACATAAATTGATAAATATCAATATATAATATATGAATACATAACTAAATAATTAAAGTACATACCATAAATATGTGAATACAAAACAATAATGATATAATTAAATTAAATAAAAATTAAATGATAATAAAAATATAACTTAATATTAAATAAATGATAATAAAACCCCAACCAAATTATTATAATAATAATGTAATAAAAATGTAACGAAATACTCATTGAATAATAATAAAAATATACAATTGAATACCTAAGAATATAAATCAATATATAAATAAATAAATAAAATGTATATATATATATAAAAATGGAAATAAAAAATGGGAATATAAAAATGAATATTTATAAAACTAAAAAATGGAATTCGTACAACCACGTTCGTATACGTTTCTTATATACTGGGAGAGACTAAAATATCAATAGATATTTGAGTCACTTTTCCAGTCCTCTACCAGTTCTCACTTACGCGAACTCAGAAACAGGGCAAGACTCAAACTGTTTTTATGTTTACATTTTATGTTAATCAAATATTCCCTTAAAATCGGGGGACAGAAAAGACACCGATTAATCTACCACTTGATTTAATTGACAATATAGAAACACCAAAGCTAATTAAATTAAACATTGATACAACGATTTTCGTTAAACCTTAAAAATTAGCTTTAATAATTTATTTTGTTTATGCATTAAGACTATATTATTAATTAGACTTCGCTATTCTAATGGAATTGCCCGACTTCTTCTTAATAATTGAAACTTTTGAACACATTTTATATTATTATTAAATTTTTTATTAATTATAGTAAGCACATTGTAACCAATTATAAAAGATTCTTGGAATTACACAATCAAGAATTTTACATAGATTCCATGCTACACATACAGTAGATTTTTAAATCAATCAAATTAAATATTGTGAAACTTTATATATAAATATTAAGAAATTGTACTTACATTTATTAATCAAAAATTAATACATTTATTCAATTTTCCTTTATATATATATAATTTTATTTTTATTTTTAATTTTTATAAATGGAATATCGTTATATATGACCCTCAATTCAGAAACTTGTAAAATAAATGATGGATTCGATCACTTATTTAATTTACTTTTCACTATAATTCATTAAAATACCTCAGATGAGGTTAGAAAAAATCGATTTAATTAATATATTTCTGTTTTTTATTTGTATTTGTTGTTTTTATATTTGCTTTCTGCAAATCTGAATGTATTTGTTATTTCCTAGTTTAAATTTAATTAGAAGTCAATTAAGTTCATTTTTAAAATCCTATAAAGAATTTTTGAAACTACGTAATTTTTAAATTCTGAATAATTTTTATATTGAATTATGTATTTATTATTATGTTAATTTGACAAAATATGTATGTTTTTATTTTTATAGTTTATAATTTATTTTTAATCAGTGTAATTTTTAAATTATTTTATTTATAATTAATTTATATTTTATTTAGTGTAACTGTTGACGAAACTGTTTTATGCAAAATGTTTATGTTTTAATTTTCAGTGTAACTCGGTTATTTAAGTTGAATGCTGTGTGTTTTGTATATCTTTAAATATCAATTTTTTTATTATTTAATATTTTTTAAAATTTAATTTGAGAGTATGCGTGCTCATAAACTTTTAAGTATTTTAAGATAATTTTTTTTTCAAATATAAGAACAATAAATTTTTTGCATTAATTAACTATTTTTAAAATTACATTAAATATTTTTTAAGACTCTTAGTTAAATTTCTACGTTGCTTAATAACTACTGAAAAAAGCTATAAATTGTATATATGCATAAAATTATTTTTCATCGTAGTTAGTACTCTTAAAACTAAGAAATTTTAATTTTATATAAATTTATTTTAATATTTTCTATATATGAACAAATTTCTTTTTAATTTTGTTGATTTTTTACTATGCAAACATCTGAACTTTTTTAAAAGTGCATATTAAGCTATATTAAATTATAATTACTATATAATTTAAATAAACATATCATGTAAAAATATTAGAATAAAAACAAAACTTTTAGTCTAGTTTTGTAGAGTACAAAAAAAAGTCTCATACAAATGATAGTAAAATAATAATACGAATATTGATTTTCTTTAAAGCCAGTTTTTATTTTACAACATGAAATAATATAAAATTTTATAAAAGAGCAATTAAATTACTAGTTCAATAAAAAGGAAATATCAAAATAACAATAAATAACTAAAGATGTACAAAATTAATTCTAAAAATATTTAAGAATAACATCAATCTATATTTTAAAGGAATTAAAAAATCTTTTAATGCTTTTGTTTTTATACATTCCGTGTAGCATTCAATTATGTAAAGTTCTCTATCGTCTATCCCATTCCAATTTAATTTTATTTTTATATAATTTTCACAATGACTTTATTTTATATATTGATATATATTTATATATATATATATTTAACATTTATGACAATGATTTAATAGGCTCTGTTTTTACTTTAAATAGTTTAGTTTATCTCTTGCTGCATAATATGAGGTGTGAAAATATTTTTGTAATTTAAATATTTTAAAAATGATTATATTTATTTTCAGTAAGATTTTAATATTATTTAAAGTATTTTTTTAATCAAATTAGATTAAATAATTTATCGCAAATCTGGATCTTCATCTGCTGCCTTTTTAATTCTAAGCAATATTGTAGTATACCACTGATCTAAACGAGATATGCTATCATAATCCTTAACTGCTTCAGTGAAGCCTTCGATGTTTTGCTCTTCAAGGTGTTCACAGAGTACCTAATATAGTTAAATGATATTATTATTAAATTTTAAAATAAAACAAAATATTAATATTAAATTTACTACACAATTTTTAAAATTTTCTATACTTTTGAATAAATTTCTTTACGAATGTATTATTATTATCAACTTTATATAAATATAAGAAAGTTTCCTTGGAATTAAAGAGATTTATGATCATAAAATTATCATAAATTTTAGAAGTCTTTTTAATAAAATCGGATAAATAATAGTGATGAAACAAAAAAAAAACTTTAATTGATAATTTTTCTTGCTGATCGTACAAGTGTTAGGAGTATTCCCAAAAAAGTCCCTTATTCAGAGGTCTTTGAAATTGTTTGTTGGTTTTATTAGTTCTTAAAAGTTTTTCTTTTATAATCAAAACGACAAGGCTAAATTAAATTAATTTTGTTACTATTGTTCCATATATTTCTATATATTCCTGATATTATAGTTCATATGATATATATTACAACTACAGCAATTTTTTAACAGCTTTTGAACTATAAATAAAACAAGGATGTTTGGCTTAATAGGAAACCAGTACACTTGCGTTTCATTAACCGTTTCTGATAACTTATTAATCCGGTTGAACTGCAAAATTATTCAGATTTCGTTGAACGGATGACAAAACCATTAGTAGTACACAGAAACCATTAAATAACTCATTTTATTAACATTAACAACCTACATTATTCAATATAGGTTGTGCATGGTGTAGAACTGAAAACTTTCTAAAAACAAAGTCCATTGCATGACTACTTGTATATGGTGCACTTCTGCAGTCTATTTGAAAGTTGGCACCCTCACTGCATAACGCGAACATTATGTTAAAAATTATTTTTTTTTTAAATTATTTGAATTTAATGATTAAAATATATATTTTAACGAAGCAAATATTTTGAACTTTCACTTTTTCAATTTTACCACTATTACCTTGCCGCTTGCCTTTTGTTACTATCAAAACTTCCTGCTTTTGCAGCAAAGTCAAAGTATCAAAGATTAGTATCTTCTTTTCGAGAGCATAAATATAATTGAGTATATTTATAGCTCTCTGAACAATACAACAATACAATGTCTTCGTCTCTGTCTGGACCCAGGTTAATGTTAATCTCACCCACCCTTCACGTTGTCTGCTAACAGGTCATAACGGGTTATTACAACAACAAAAGAGTTCTCGATGTAGAAAAATCTTGATTTGTTTGTATTAAATTCAATTTTCAGAATGAATTTTTTTTTGAATTCGGATTCATTGCAAAATAACAACGTTTTATTAACTTATTTTAACAATACAAAAACAATTTCTTCAGACTAGATAATAGCCGAGTAATCATGAGCCTTGTTAAGACACTCTACACGTAATAAGATTATAGAATACCGTCATCAATAAACGTTACTGTCATAAAGTTAGTTCTAATCACACGGCGTAAGAGTCGTCCAAAAATGTCGAACAGATAAGCTGTATAATACCCCTAATATGATGATGATAGCACATAATTAATAGAGAAATATATACGTAAACCAGTGTTTAAACGTTTTTCACTACATTAAAAATGTCAATGTGACTACTATACTATATGCGGATTATGTAAGAACGGATGCAGGTTTTACCTTAATGAGTTTATATTCCCGTGAATCTTGGAATGCTGGATATTGGTTTGAATATTTTTCAATAGCATGTTGAGCATTCAACAAATCAACACTTAAATGACATAGAGCTGCTCTGAAAAAGTATTCCTTAGCACTATACTTTAATAAAGAACTTTCAAGTGAAGATGCGGCTACCTATGAAAAACAAAATGGTTAATAGAGTTTTCTTTTTGTAGCAAACATAAATTTGAATGAGTCTTATTACTTGTTCATAAATGGAAATAGCCTTTTCATAATCTTCCAACTGTGCTGCATATTGGGCAACTTTCAACATACATTTATTAGCTGAACTGACTGATTCTTCTCCTTTAAAGTAATCAGCTGCTTGTTCAAAGTGCTGAATTGCTTTGGCCTAATAAAATCAATACATTTACAAATTATTAAAAATGTAATCAAAAATATTTATATTGTTGTTTCGTATTTACATACCAAAGTATTAGGATCGCTTTCATACATTTCGGCAATACTTTGATGATGTTTAGCAGCCATTGTAAAGCGTCCCATATCTGTATAGATATCAATCGATTTCAGAAGACAAGAAACTGCACTTTCGATATCCACCTACAATAAATTTGCATTAGATGAAATAACATATCGTTTTCGAATTTAATTAGATATTACCTTTTTATAACAATTTGAAGCATCAACGTAACAAGTACCAGCGTCATGACGACTACCAGCTCTTGCATGTAAATTGGCAGCTTCACAGAAACATTCTCCAGCTTTTACCCAGTTTTTAGACATTTTAAACATATTGCCTGCTCGCTGATAGCATTCGATGGCATCTTCAACTTTATTGGATCCACTAAAAAATTCAAATACAGTTTTATTTTTTAGAATGCATGCACAGACAAATAAATATAATTTTAAAATTATAAAATATTTTTATTTAATTTTTATTATTGTAACCATTTAAACGCACACCAGTATTTGATTGCTTTGGGAAGCAAAAAACAGATGGAGAAAGATAATGTAAGAAACAATTAATATTGGGGATGAAAGCCAGTCACGTGTTTACAAAGAACCCAGCCGTTTTTATAGACCGAAACTATAATATAATATGGATATGGTTCAAATTTGTGTATGTAATATGAAAATTAGAATGATATATATTTTTAAATTTGTATTTAAAAAATTTGAAATAGAGCAAATAGGTACATTTTTATTGCAGATTTCAAAAAACTAAAGATCGAAAATTGTAAATACATATAAACTAACATACAACTATTGAAAATATTCAAGAAGAGAGTCAAAAAATTACTAATTAAAATATTAATTGCAAATAAAACCTCAGTTATTATTCAATCATAAGGTAATATAAGTTTCGCACTATAATAAAATATGAAGTAAAATTTATAAAAATGTATATAAAAAAGGATATATTTTGGAATTATGCGTACAATGTACAATATCAATATAATTTTAAGATGCTTTAATTTTGAGAGTGAATTACTTGGTCATATAATCGTGAAAAATTGTCAATGTATAACTATATTCTATCCCTTGCCTATACGATGAAGTACGGTACAAAGTATACGAATCGATGTCCCTCTTGTGTGGATATACTTCTAAAGACAAATTATTGTTTATACTTGTTTAGAACAACTTAATCCGTTTTGTGCGGGCACTCTTCTCCTCTTACATAGAGTATCCGTGTGAATACTTGTGCGGTATATATTGCTAGGTTAATAAAATAAGTAATTATTTATAATTTAAACAAAGTTAAATTTTTAATAAATTTTTGTTTATTGTAACCGACAGATCGAAAGGATGATCAATTTTATTGAAGTTGACGTCAATTAGAGCTATTATTTCGGAGTATATATGGACTTTTAAAATTTTCACTGTCCTTTAGTGATTAGATGGGACTAAAAACTCACACATTAACTAATTTTTATATACGTTAACCTTCCTGTTTTTTATATAAATAATGTTGATTAAAATATATTTGCATATACACAATATATGCGTATATCACAAACTAAGACTACTAATTAAAAATTTATGTGTTGGTTAGTAGTTAATGTGGGATGATAGATTTCTAAATTATTACTGATAAAAATCATAAAACAGTTATTGTATTTGGATTTAGCCTAAACAAAGTATGGAGAACAAAAGGCTTGAACCAAAATAAAAATCTTTAAGCTTGAGTAACAGTCCTCATCACACATAAGTTACAAACCTTTATGAATAGATGCTTAAGACAAATTTAAAGAATTTGGTGGCTAAGAACGCTCAGCAACAAACGACTGTGGGCTACAACAGAGTAAAACCCAATTAATTGACAAATCGTAAAAACAGGGTATTTTTGGGCCATACTCTACGCAAACACTGCAGCCAAATCGCACATGCTGTTCTAGAATGGAATCCACAAGGAAGAAGAAATAATGGTCGACCAAAGACTATATGGAGTGCAATCAACAGAGAGGCCGGCAAATCTTTCAGTGAACTAAGAGAGTGAGAAATAATTGGAAATCTTTTGTGATTAGACTAAGTTCTTGAATTTGTATTTTTGAACATGTCAATAATAATAATAAAAGTATTTGGAATAGTGAAGTTTAAAATCAATAATTATCTCATCCCTTTAATTGTTCAGTTATTCGTAAAATGAAACTTATTATATTTTAAAAAGTATAGTGTTAAAATTAAACTTTCAAGTAAAAAAAAAAACATTTAAGGATAACAAAACTTGGAATTTTCATAGGGAACTGGCAAAAATCCAGAACAAGGAAGAACTGTTTTTATTTACAAGTACACGAGTTGGCGCAGCACAGCAGATTAGTTGTTGTTGATATTTTTATCAAGTATAGACAAAGAGGCAAGGGAGAGTTTTAATTGCCATACATATTTTGCTGCTTTGGTATACACAGGAAAAACAAAAAAAAACAAGACAGTAAATTACGAATGGTAAAAACGATTATAGTGTAGCCGACAAAGAGAATTTACAAATAATGGATTGTGACTCCTTTGGACTATTAAAATTGGTAAGATTTACACTGGTCGAAAAGCTGCTATAGTTTTCGCTTTTTATTATATACATAGAAAATCTTTCAATTGATTTGATTTCACAATAAATATTGCATATATTAAAATTAATTACTCACCCAAATAACGAGCCGAGAAAACCTTTTTGTTGAGTTAACTTCTTCTCGGCTTCTGCCATTAACTGTAACGCCTTTTGCTCATTGTCGCCCATAATTGCAAATTTTATATAAATTTGCAATTAATGCAACAAAATAAAATTGCTAAGTAATTTCTTCACAAGACGAAATATTTTTCGCTGCAGATATGCGAATTGCGATTGAAAAAATAAAAAATCGATGATGACGAATTGGACTTCTCAACTGTTAGAGTTGCATTCTTGAATTCTTACAGCAAATATTTTCGCCTAAAAAGTAATCGAGTAATCGAGGCTCTGACTTTGATCGATTTTCAATTAATAATCTTTATCAAGCAAATTATTAAACATGAAAAATATATTTTCCACACTGATACTTAAAAAATGACACATAATATTATATAATACTACAGTTATTTTGTTACATTTGTAAAAAAAATGACGTTGCAAATATAAAATATTTATCAAAATGTAGTTATAATTTAAACAATAACGATAATTATATAATAATATTTATAAAAAGATGTGAGAAACCGGTTGCACAGAACAAAATTTAAATCAACAGGCACGTTGACAAATCAGCTGATTGCAATGAGAACAAATGAAAAACAACGAATGTAAATACTTTCAAACGACTGATTTGAAATGAGTCATCCTTTATGTCTTTACGTAGTGTGTGACCTGACAATCTATATTTTCGCAACCCTATTTCCTCATCTATTGGTTTCTGCGTAGTAGCATGCCACAGTCTTTCGTTCGAGACTATTTTTGGCCACCATATCCGCAAAATATACCAAAAACATACAAAATATACAAAATCTCAAGCGCAAATGAGATCCATTGGATCTCATTCTATATAAATGAGTTCCAACAAGGCTAGAATGAGTTCCAAATATGTTACAAATGCAAATGAATACATTGAACATACCCTAAATAAAAATTTTTTCATAATATGAAAAATACAAATATTTGGTGATTGAAAACGATGCACACCTTTTTGGAACTTCTTCTTCCCAAAAATAAATTAATCGAAGCTAAAAAGTTTTCAGTTTATATTATAAGGTTTGAAAGTATATATAACCTTCATCCAACATCTTTTTGGCACAAGCTAAAAATTAAATCAACAGGCAAGTTGAAAAATCAACTGTTTGAAATGAGAACAAATGAATTACAACGAATATAAACTCTTTCAAATGAGTCATTTTCGGCCAGTGTAAACGCTATATAAAACTGCTGAAAATGGCCCTAGCTTTACTAATACGGCTTGGAGACTGCTATGTAACTTTATGCAGTTTGTTGTGAATAAAAACAGGAACCAAAAATTTTTAAATCGTGCTTAAGTTCTGATTACTCGGATTGATGGTATTTTCAGCAGACACGAATAATCGGCCCACGTTACCAAGCTCTGTGGTACGGCTGTTGCTTCAATTCAATTCAAGGCTGATTGTGTGCCTCAAAACCTGCCCAATACACTCGAGCTACTGGTATTTCTCCTTGATAGCAGATTTTATCACAGTTGATCTGCTGTTTACTCGGGCGCCAGAGCCTTATTAGTAGTCACAGGAGACACCATGAGAAGGTGGTGGATGAATTTACATTTAAGAAGCTACGCGTCAAAGACTTTGTCCCCCGAAGTCCTAGTGTACTAGTTATGTTAATAAACATTTAGTTCTATGCTTTTTGTATTTAATATCAAAAAGATATGCTCGCAGACAAATACGCAGAGTTCATTTTCATATCAAATTTTGTTTCCTACAAAACAAAAGGATTATAAAGGATTGTACCATAAGTTTTCATGTTTTCTATATTTGTAAACTTAAATGATATGAAACATTATTTATGAAGTAAATCATCATGATTTAATTTTACTATATATTTATTGATTATTTAAAGTTAATACTTTAATTTTATTTATTAGAATTGTGTTGTAGCGTTTAATAAACACTTCAAACTTGCTAATACAGTAATAATTTATAATAATAGATTTAAATTTATAGATAATTATAGATAATTATAATTATATAATTTATAGATAATAGATTAAATTTATAATAATAAGTTTATATAAAATTTTGTTATAAAGCTTAGTACAAATATCCCCTTTACGCGAAAAATTAACATAAAATTTCTTATAAAAAAAATTTTTTATGTGACTAATTTTTTTAGAGATTAATTTTAATTTTTTGCACGAAATGAACGTTTAATGGATAAAAAAAAATTGAATTAATAAATAAATTTAATTGATAATTGATAGTCATTAATTGAATAAAATTTTATACTACACATAATAAAATCGCATTGAATTTGAGAAATCTAAAACTTCAATACATGCCTGCAAGTTTTAAGTTTAAATATAAATTTTTTATATTTAAACCATCGCTCAGATTTTAAAGATGCCTACAAACGAGTTATTTTAATCAGACAAAGAATATAAAACAGTATCAGCAACAAAGTTATACTCTGTGTAGGGCACCATACATATATTATATTATTATTTTTATTGCAGTAATTGGCAACACCAAACAAATCATCATTTTGTATTTGTAAATTTTGGAATTCACATTCAAACTTCAATAACGCGTCTCTATCTATTACGCTTTCATTCTTTTAAATAAATATTAAAGAATACACGCATTTCTAGCTCGGAAAAATGGATAACAAATTATCTAAATGGTCCACTTTAACGTAAGTATATATTTACACAAATACATGTTATGAATAAATTTGTGTTGATAAGCAATTTTTAATTTCAGCGAAAAGGAAAAAGTTGATATTTTAAGTGGTGGCCTTGATACGGACTGTAGCTTTATTGCTTGCGGTAGTCCAAATTCAGAAGCTGTACATTGCCATCAAACCATATTGTCACAGACCTCTAAAGTCTTTTATGATATGTTTGCTAAAAACGCTGGTGAAGACTTGACCAATAATGAAATTCGTTTGGACAATGTCGAAGCAAATACTGTCCATCAATTTGTTGATTTCGTTTATTTTGGAAACAAACAACAAATAAGTAAGCTCTCTCTTCAAATTCTTAAGGAATTGGTTTATATTGCAGAAAGTTATAAGATCAGCGATCTATCTGACTCTTGCTTGAGTGCAATTGATAATATCAAAACCAACATATCGTTAAGAGATATGGCTAATTTTTATGAATACGCTCACAGAGTAGATAATCAAAAGCTGATTGAGTTATTCAATCGTAAAAAAACTGTAAGTGCGCTGTTAAATACAATATTCTATTAAATATATATGTATTTATTTTAAATTTGCAGGAATGGTGTAATAATGTACAAAGAGATCAAAATGATATTTATTGCTCGTCCATATACGACATGAGTTCAGCTTGTTTCATGGATTTTATAAAAATATTTGCAAAAGAAAATGTGAAACATTGTTTCGAAATGGTACAATATTACATAAAAAGGAATTTAAGCGATAAATCAGTTGAAGGTGAAAATGGGGAAGAGAATTTAAAGAAATTCGAAGATGATGATCATCTTAAAAAACCAAATGGTGAAGTTATAAATCGCGAAGATATTTCTGACGTTTCTAAGATTGATTTAAAAAGTCCAGAAAATGATTCTAAAATCTTAGCAGATACTTCTAATAAACGTAAACGTAATATAAACGAAGGAGATAATTCTGATGCATCTCAAGATGACTTTAAGGACAAAGGAACTATTTCTGAAGCATCTGAAGATGAGTTTAAACAATCAGAAATTTCTAAGAATCAGAAAGGCGGTTGTGGAAAACTGCAAGAAGACGTGAATAGTTCCAAGGAATCTAAAACTTATAAAAAAAATAAATTAATTATAAATATGTTGTTAAATTTGATTGATTTCAAAAGTATGTCTTTGGTTGAATTTCTCAATGGACCTATTAACTCTGATCTACTAGACGTTAATACAAAATTAGAGGTTTTAGCGGAGATTGTTCCAAAGAATTAATCCTGTAAATTTATCTTCAGAAAACAAAATTTAAGAATACAATTAGTATGTACAATCATATTCAATAAAACTACTTTTCGATACGTTATTTTGATTATATATAAATCTTTTTATTTTTTTTTTGTATGTTTATAAAATTTGTGTTAATATATATAAATTGAAAAGGATAGATAAAAGAAGACTTTTTTGCTTCAGCTTTTTAGTCTACGGGATCTGGTTTCCAAAGTCAGTGAATGGAGTTTATTAAGTATGGAAAAAATGGATTCGGTATACATCATGGTTATCCAAAAATACAATTTGTATAAAATATATTTAATTTAAATTTTAATATATATTGTGATACACACGAAAGAATGACGTCAGTGAAACTTAACTCTTAACTAATTGTGAAAATATTAAATTCTCTAACTTCAATAAATTGTATTAGTTGCGTTGTTGTAAGATTTATATTTAAATCTTTTTATTTTGTTTGCATTTCAGATAAGAATTTGTTGATGTACATATAGTGACCATATACATATGAAAAATTGCGATATTCGAACGTGCACTACATACTTTGCTATTTGTGAAATTGCAGGGTTACATAGGCATCACGTTTGAAAACTTATTAATCAGATGAATCTTATTATTGTGAAATGTTGCACTTAAATTTAATTTGGTTTTGAATATGTTATGTGAAAAAATAACATATATAAAAATATTGATACAAAAACCTAAAGAAATGAAAGTTTTATAATAATTTTAGATATATTTTTTCTACTTTTTTTTGTCCTTATATACAATACAAAAAACAAAAATAATTATTTAAATTATATGCAAAATAGTTTTTTCAGTTCAAGTTTACAATTAAATTGAGATAGAATTAAAAAGGAGCATTCAAAAGTTTGTCATTTTATTATTTTACCGAATGCAAAGTTATTGATTAACCTCTTAATGCCTTCAATGTTACTTTTATTAATATTAATAACAATTTCATAGCTAAAACCAAAAGTTTTATTATTTTTATTCATTTTAAATTAAACTTACAACAGAGATACATATGTATATATTGCTATATCAATATCTTCTGCGTAATATTAAATTTATGGTTTTGTTTTTGTAAGAATAAATGCAAAATTTTAAACGAAACAAAAAAAGTTATGAATGTTTGTTTTTCCTTTTAAGGCATAAATATTTGATGACAATAAAAGATGGATTTTTTGTTGGCATTAGCAAATTAATCTGTGTATGGTTGTAAATTGCTGAGTGTGTTTAAAGTGGCAATAAATGAAATTTGGTTGGAATTAGTTTGTATAAGTTTTATTCTACAATTTTAACTTTAGTTTTTGCTTTTCTAATTAATAATCATAATTTTATCAAGATATGTAAAATTTATCAATGTATTAAAATCATTACGGTTTATAAAAAAATTAATCATATTTTTCACGTAATGTTTATGAAGTTTAAAAAAAAATGTGTTCTTGTACTAATTTTGTCGTGTTATTAGTGAAACAAATAAAATTCGGTATTTAAGCCGTGTGCGAGTTCGAGTAAATTGATGGTAAATTGTGGGATATAATAAAAGATGTCGATATGGCAGCGAATGTTGGTATTTACCAAAATTTCAAGTAGGGTAAATTAGATAAAAATTAGCTAAATTAGGTGTTACCATTGTGAACATTTTATAAGATATTTAATAAATAAATAAATAAATGAATTTGAAAACTCTTAATCAAAAATAATCAATAAGTGCAATAAATAAATATTTACATAAGTGCAGTGCAAAAAATTCCTAGACAATTTCAATTTACATTACCTCAATTTACTCGAACTCGCACACGGCCTTAGGCTACAATATTAATACTAATTGACATATATGCTGTTTAATTCTTAAATAAATATAACGTACAAGAATTATGCATTCAAAAATTTTGTAGTTATTTTGTAGTTAAGTTTTGTAAAAAATTCTGCAGTTATCAGTGCATTTAATACTATGTTCAGGCAGCCAATTTTCTTTCATTTCGTTAAAATGAAATTAAGTTAATTTGGAAAGTGTTCATACTGCCCCAAATTAAGGAAATCATATATTTTTTGTTTAAAAATCGAATGTTAAAAATTACATGCTCCAAACACTACTTGTATCTGGAAAATTGATTGTTTTAACTATAAAGGATGGCATTCAGCAGTTTTATTAGTTCTTGTGGATTTTAGGTATGTAAATTATTATTTTCCACTTCTTTTTAAATTAATAACAGTTACAGTTTTTTCTCTATATTCAAATTTAAAACTTTGCATTTCTTTTTAAATATTTTCCCAGTTTTATTAAAGTAAACTGTCACTGACATTCACTTTATCTTTTGCTTAAAATTTATCTTACGCATGATTGCATTTGAAATGTGCTTTAATTTCAGCCTTCGTTTCAACGAAATTATGGCAATTTTCCTTAATTTCGATCTAACCTTAAAACTGAATTAAGGTTATTAAACAACTTAATTTCGCTGAAACGAAGATGAAATTAAGATTTCTGCGAACTTAGGTCGTGTGCGAGTTAGGCTAAGTTGATGCTAAACCAAATGAGAGATTTTTTGGGATATTTTGCACTGCCATTTATCAACACGTATCGACACATCAATACATTATCGACACAACTTAGAATTTCCCTCATTTAGAACGCAACTTAGCCTAACTCGCACACGACCATAGTATATGACTTATTAGTACTCTGCTTATGAGTAGCTTATACGCCATTCTACTTAGTAAAGTGTACACACTCGTGTAACGCTGATTCATTAACTCCACCAATCGTTAACGAATATACTTATGGATCATATCTGTGGTGAATAAGAATGCGTAAAAGTAGTGTATAATACGGCGTTTACATTGGCCGAAAATGGCTCATTTTGAATGACTCATTTGAAAGTGTTTACATTCGTTGTATTTCATTCGTTGTCATGGTAACAATTCAAACTGAAATAAAACTACTAAACATTTGTTTATCTTTTTTTGTAAATATGTCAAAACAGCTTTTACAAACTGTCAAAATGCCATGAAGAGCTTTCATTTAGGGTATGTTCAATAGATTCCTTTGCATTTGGAACATATGTGGAATGCATTCGAACGTCATTCATACAGAATGTGAGAAAATTGCTCATTTTGTGCTTGAAATTTTATATGCAAGAATGAGCCATTCGATACTCATTTTCGATTTTTGACCAAAATGAACCATTTTCGGCCAATGTAAACGCCGTATAAGAAAAATATTTATACATACTTATATTTGCTTTTTATGAGTGTACTGTAAGCAATTGCTATATAAAACTTTTTTGTTTTTTGATTATTGCAAAAAAAATTTTTATCTAGTTATACTTAAAATAAAGACCATGCGTAGGAAGAAAGAGGAAATTGGAAAATATTATATATAATATAAATATTAAATTAAAAATATTACAAAAACAGTGCTTTCATTATTCATTTTCCATTTACCACGATTAGACCAGTCTACATTGAAAATTGAGTGCTTTTGCAAATTGTTACTCCATATATATACACACGCCATGATTTATGTGTCCGTTCTTGCATAAATATTCTTTGTCTGAAAGTGGCAATCAGCTGTTTTCCTAAATGCATAATATGCAATTGTAATGATGCCACTTTGCGCACTGAAATGCTTGCGCATTTGCATAAATATTTTTTAAAAGCTATACGTACAGAAACATTTGAACAAATATTCAAAGATTTGAATGAAATGGATTCGTCTTTCTTGTGTAGTCATATCGGGATATGGAAACAAAAGTTTGAAAAGAAATTGTACTCAATTGCAATCAGTTTTAGAGTTAATAAATATTTACAAGCTATTATATCTATTTAATTAATAGATTAACGTTTTTATATTTTTTTAAATCAAAATAAATGTAATATATATTGTGCTGTTATTGACAACAAAACAGTAATCGAAATGAACAACATGTTGACTACTGTTTTGATTCATAGAAGGAGAAGAGCTGCATTAAGACGAGCGGCTAACTTGAAAAAAATTTGTGCCTTAGAATCACTATTGTCTTATTACAGAAATACAAATAGTCGAAATGTATGGACACACGTAAGATTTTCAAAGAACAGTAATATTTGCAAAAATTGAATACATTTTTGTCTTTTAGGAAAGGGGTAGCAGATTTTGGGAAGATGATGTGCCAAAATATTCCGATTGCCAGTTTAAAAATAATTTTCGGATTGAAAGATCAACTTTCTCGTACTTAGTAAACAGATTTCAGCATCTCAAAAGGCGTGATACTAACATGCGCAAAGGCATATCTGTTGAGAAGCGTGTCGCAGTTGCTCTCTACGCACTTTCGTCTTCTGTCGAATACAAAAAAATAGCTAACCTATTTGGAATTGGTATATCAACGGTTTGTGAAATGGTGTTGGAATTTTGTGAGAGCGTTAATAATAAACTAGCTAATGAGTTTTTAAAGGATTATCCTTTTACTGATGAAAGATTAAAGGAAATTGTTGAAGGTTTTCAAAGTTTAGGATTTCCACAATGTTGTGGTGCAATAGGTACATATATTTACTTTGTGATCTGATAAATAAACTAAAAATTATATATCCACAGATGGTTGTCATATTGAAGTGTCTCCATCAAAACAACAGGCCCCAGATTACTACAACTTTAAGGGATGGTATTCTATTATACTGTTTGCAGCAGTAGATCATAAGTAAAAAACAGTTTTAGTTTTGGGTACATGAAATATATTTTAAATATTTTATGCTTTTTCAGATGTCGCTTCACTTACATAAATGTTGGTGGTACAGGGAGTAGTAATGATTCACATATTTTTGAAAACTCCTCCCTTAAGAGATATCATGAAGAAAATGACATTTTTAAAAAATATATTAACGTCGATGGTGTAAACGTACCTATAATGTTAATAGGTGATTCTGCTTTTCAGTTATCATCAATATTAATGAAACCATATCCTTATCGAATAAACCAACCGGAACATGAAAGAAATTTTAACAAAAAGCTGTCATCATCAAGACGTGTTGTTAAAAATGCCTTTGGTCGTCTGAAAGCAAGATTTCGGCGTCTCGGAAAGGGTTTCGAAAATCGTATTGAAAATGTGAGTAGCATTGTTAAGGCATGCTGCATTCTCCACAACATCTGTACTGAAAGGGATGATCGTATAGTTGAGTCTTGGCTACAATTCATTCCTTCATCCAAACATCAACCTAATGTATCAACAACACTGGGAAATAAAGATAAAGATGCTAACGCTATACGAAATGCAATAAGTTCTTATTTAGGTATGTATTTGAAATATAACAACAAAAAATAATATAATGTAAAATGTGTTAATATAGTGTAAAATATTAACTTTTTATTAACTAATTGTGCTACACATCACGATTTAAAATTTTTGTAAAATTTACATCTGAAAATTTAAATAGTGATTTGTATTATAACAATTCCACAAGTTATTTTTAAATCATTAGTACAAATTGTTATAAAACAATAAAATAAGCAGCAATACTTTAGTCTATTAGTAATTTTTTCTATTATAAAAAATTTATAATCTATATCTGAGGCTATTTGTAATAACCATTATCTTGCCTTTTTCTAGGTTTACTACCAAATGTGAACGTTACAACAGACGAAGATGATGACATTGACAGCGAAGCAGATCTCATCGACTGTGACGACATACCTACAAGTGGTGCTAACGCAGTTTGCGACGCTGATAATTTGCTGTCGACATGACTGTTGGCGTCCTACATAAGTTGAATTAATATCACTGTTGGCGATACAATTGCTGCTGCAATCACTAACACGCCTGATTTGCGTCGAATTTTCAGTATTTAAATAAACTTATAATAGAGAGGAAATGAGCACAAATTTGTAAAGTATTTTTTGCATTTATTTTATTTATTAATTCAATGGTTAGTTCAGCAACTAGGAACAAAATATATAGTTTAAAAATGTTATTTACATTGGAAAATACACTCAAGGAGAGGGTTGATAAAATTCGAATTTAAGATAACGCAAATTAAGTTAATGTCCTGTTGGTTCATTTATAAGCAGATTCAATTAGTTACACTAGCATTTCAAAAACTAGAAACGGACTATTACCAATCAGCAAACAATTTCAGACGATTAATGGTTAGTATTTGGCAAGTTTCGAAGCAACTATATAGTTAGCCCAATTCAATTCATTAAAATAAATTTTTGCAATTCATGTTTTCTGCACTATGATTCATTTTTGTATATAAAAATAGATAACATGTTCCAAAAAACATAGAAGTCAGATGATTTCTTGCTTTTTTCCCTAAAGTAACCTTAGTGTGTTCTAATTATCTATATTGCTAAATTTCTAAATAAAATAAAAAGAAAGTTGTATGGTCATAAGTTAATATTTATTATTCAAAACATTATTTATTAATTTATCTTATTTCTCATTTAGCATTTGCAATTCTGCTTCCTCCATAATGTTCAATATCTTTTTCTTTGTCTGAATTTGAAGTGGTAGTGACATACTTTGCACCAGTTTTGCATAACCAAGAAAAATTAATTCCAAAGAAGATAAATTTGTATGATTAAAGGATTGTGTAAAATCCCCATTCGTGTCATTTTCCACACATTGATGTTCTTGTAAATGAGAAACTCTTTCTTGCACCACCAAATTCATTTCATTCTGCTTTAAGTCATTTTTTTCTATAGTTTTATCCCGAACATTATTTGTGCGAGTTTTTTCTAGGATGGTGCATTGATTATCCTCATCTTCAGAATTTAAAATACGATCCAATTCATTTTCGTCATATTCAACATTCAACGTACTATTTTCACAGAGCCTAAATTCAGAATGTTCAATTAAAACAGAAAATTAAATATCAGTTAATCTTACTCATCTTCAAATATAAATGCTTGCATAAACTGCATATCATTAGCATATGTAAACTTTGTTCCTTTTGTCAAATAATTCCTATAATTATAAAGAACTGTTTGCCACATACTTATTGCTCCTGAAACTTTAATACATCATTAAATATAACACACAATTCCGAGATTTAGTACCACTCTCAATATTGCAAGAATTCGCGATTTCCATCCATTTTTTTTTTTGTTCCTCTGTCAAATTATTTTTGATAAAGGGTTTCCGGTATAAAATTTCATTCTCTTTAACTTTTCTAATTAATTTCTTTACAGGCATTTCAAAACACACCAATTAGTCTGTTATTAAACAAATATTTATCCGAAAATGTTTTGACAATTGCTTAAGTTATTGTAGATGCCACCTTTCTCTAGAGCAGTGTCAGTATTCTAAAATATATAATATTAGGTCTTTTTCACGATATACTCATAGTAAAACTCAAGTAAAATTTACACCAAAATTTGCTGGTGAAACGCACTTGTTTAAACACAGTGTTACTCAAAGTTACTAGGAGTAGCTCGTGGAACAGACTTATTATTAGGTAGTGTACACTCTCATGAAGATCGCACCTGTCGATAATAAATAAATGTAATATTTTTAAAAATATGTCAAAACAATATTTGCCGACGTAGCAAGATAGTTTATGAAAATAATTCGGTTTAATCAAAAAGACTGTTACGAACGGCGCTAATCTGTAGGTTTTATAATTTAATAAAGTATATAAATAAAATAAGTTTTGTACAGAATGATGTTAAGATATATTATTAGCCAGTCAGTTTGGTTTACATCAATAAATAGAAATGATTGACTTGTACACCTATTATGTAAACTAGAGCTGCCTCAATTTACAAGTTGAAGGTAGTTTAAACACACTATGAGACCGTTTTCGATTGATGAATATGGGGTCACTTTTTCAATCGAGATCGAGATTTTCAGAGCAATTTTCATTTTCTTTTGGTGATTTATAACACTAGATATTTTGCTAGAGTAGCAAGACTACTCTGAAATTAATAGTTGTTTTATATGTATAACATGACAGATAAAGTCTAATTTGATATTTATAAAAATATTAACACAACAACGAAATTGTTAAATCTAAAAAGGTTCGATTGGGCAACAAAATTTGTCAAATTTAGTGTGAATCTAGATAAATCCAGGTTTATAGTTATGCGCGGTTTGAGTTCATTTCTAAAATTAATTTGTTCAAAATTCGATATTTTACATTGGTTCTTTATGATACATTTATATATGTATTTTTAGGCATAGATTTAAGGGTTTCAGTATTTTGATTTAAAAAATGGAGAAATAAAGGACGTCTACTGTTATTATTTAAAAATTTAATGCTTAATTGAGCATGAGATTAACCTGCTAAATAAAAGCCGTAAAGAAATTTAGTGTTAACATTAAGTTACTGCATACATTTATACAGGTGCTACATTAGCAAATGTTTGATTTGACTGTAAGACCGTTTGCGAGTTCGGGTAAATTGAGGAAAATAGTAAATTATGTCGATATGGAAGCGAATGTTGGTATTTACCACAATTTCGAGTAGGGTACGTTAGATAAAATTAAGTAAATTAGGTGTTACCGTTGTAAAAATTTTGTAAGATAGTTTAATAACTTTGATAATTTTGGTTAATAACCAAATACTTTTTTTTGGTTATACTTTTAACCAAAAATAATAAATAAGTGCAATAAATAAATAAATAAATGTTTATATAACTAAACAGAATTTACTTTATCTTAATTTACTCGAACTCGCACACGGCCTAAATACATATTTAATGTTTGACTTTAAACCTATCAAACTTCGGTAATTTCATGTTTATTATAAAAATGTCCATTACAAGTTTTTAGCAAGCAAATCGCAAGTTTTAAACTTTGTAATTAAAAAGGTTGCCAGACATACAATTCTGAGTGCAGCTGTGCGTTAATAAATTTGTGATTTGTGGTTAAATGGGCAGCACCGCAAAATGGAAAAACAAATTTTGTGATCTGGTGTTTTATTTAAAAACTATATACATATGTACACAGAAAGACCGTAATGTTTTTAAACATGACGATTAATTCAACATACATGTCTAATTTCGATTGTAGTAAAAATTGATTTCAAAATGAATTCAAATAGAAAAATTTCTAATGTTGAAGTTTTGGGCGATGAAAGACTAGTAAAATCAGCTCGTCGACCTAGAAATTGTCGTTCTCGAAATATTGTTGCAATATATTGCGATGTGGTTAGCACTAAACGCTATGATAATGTTGATATATTAGTTCGCGTTTCCATTGTAAATCAATCACGAAAGGTATTGTTGGACACATATGTAAAACCTGAGAAAAAATTAGTTGACAAGCGTATTAGAATAAACCGAATAATACGCACGGCTTCTAAATATGGAGAGGATTTTGTAAATGTACAGAATGAAGTGGTTAATATATTGCAAGGTAAATTATTAAAATTTAGTATAATTAAATAATTGCAATTCCAATATACAAAACATAGGTAAAATATTGGTGGGTCATAATATAAAAAGAAGTTTGTCGGTTTTACATATAACACATCCACAAAAAAATATACGTGACACACTTGATTATGAGCCATTGCGCCAGTTATTATCAAATGGAAACACAACTGCATTAATCCATATATTTAAAGTAATACTAGGTTCAACAATTCTAAAACGGCTATATAATTCCGTCATGTATGCAAAATCAATAATGGACGTATACAATCGACTAATTCCAAATTGGGAAACGTATATGCTTGAATTGCAGAAGAATAACAGTAATAATATATAATTGTAAAATTTCATTTAATAATATATCAGTTAATTTCTTATTTTAAAGCACAAATTGAATCTGCTGAAGAAAAAACTCAGATTATTTCAATTGGAATTAGTAGCTTGGATCCAATATACCAAACAGATGAAAATAAAGCAGATGAGTTGTTAGTAGAACATGCTATAGATAATCAGAAGAAAGAAGTTGATGAAGGTAGATATTTTGTTGTGTTTTATGAGTTTCATTTGTAAATATGGTACCAAAATAATTAATTGATCTAAACGTAGATTCCCCAGAGATAGAAGATAATGAATATATGTTCACATATAATTTAGAGTGGTTATTTGCAGAATCCATTGTGGATACTCCAAAAAAAGTAAATAATGGATATGTCACAACAGATGTTGATGAAGGTAAATATTTTATTATGCTACATACTTTCATTTGCCAATAAAGAACTTGAATCATTATTTGATTGGTAGATTCGCCAGAGAAAATGGAAAGTGAATATATGTTTTTAAACGATCTGAAGCGCTTATTTGCAGAACCTATTGTAGTTCCTCAGCAAGAAGAGGCAGATGATGGGCATACCAAAGCATATATAAAAGGAGGTTAATATATTATTGTGTTATGAAATTTTAACTCTAAATACATCAGTTGATTTATATATACATCAATTATTAGATTCACCAGAGAAAGATGAGAAGTGGTTATGTCCAGAACACTTGGTGGATCATCAAAAAAAAGGGCGTAATGAACATGCTACAACAGATATTAATAAAGGTAAATATTTTGTGTCATGAACTTTCAGTTGAAAACAATAAAGAAATATTTCATTTTGTCACGATGGTCAACTGAAAATGAAACAACTAAGATAACAATTGTAAGCCTTAAATATGGAAACACATATCAAAGTACTATTAATTATATATGAAAAAATGTAGAAAGTAAAATTTAAGTATTTATTTATTATATTTTATTAGGTTAAATGTTTGTTTTCTATTTCATATATAAATAATTTTTGCAGCTGACTCGGAATGGCATAAAAATAGTTCCAAACTTCAATACGATGATAAGAAGAATAAGAATAGTGAATCAGTTCAAGAAAAAACTTCATCTGCAGATAGAAGCTCTGGTCATGGACTACGATATCAATATGACCGACGACCGAGATATCGTAGGAGTATTGCCACAACCAACCGTAAATATAATAATGGTATACCAACAGAACAATTTGTGGATCCTTCAAAAAAAGAAACTAATGGATATGACAGAACTAATAATGGTGAATATTTCATTATTTTTTAACAATCAGACGGAAGGAAGTTAAAAAAAGTCATAATTTTCAAGATATAAAATATGTTTAATTGTAATATTAATTATATAGAAAATAGTTTCAAAAGTAACTTGTAAATATTTAATTTTATTGTATCTAGTTTGCTAATTTATTATTTGTTTTCTTTTTCGAATATGAAAAACATGAAGCTGTCTCAAAGTGGAATAAATAAGTTTCTAAAAAACAGCACGTCCATAAGAAGCCTAAATCAGGTCGAGAAAAAACTAATATTATTTTTTTTAAGCTAAAATATCAAACTTTAGATTACGAGATAGAGATAGAAGACGTCTGAGATATCATGAAAATATTACTCCAATTTATGGGTCCTCAAAGAAAGGAAGAAATAGATACAACAGATCTTAATAATGGTAGAATATACGAATATAAATCGTCGTGGTATATATTATTTCAAAACGATTAAAGTGTGTTAGTAAAGTTTTTAATATACATAAATTATTTGGCGATATTAGGAGTATTTTACATTTACGCATTCTTACGCTTGCTTTGTTTTTTTTGTTGCTCTCATTTCTGTTGCATTAAATATATTTTATGTTTCATTGTTTATAATTCTTCTCATCATTATACAAACAAATTTTACGTGCTTAAATTAATCAGCTTTATGCTTCACTCAAACTTTTATAAGGACATATATTCTGACATACAGCTATTATTCATAAGCTAGCCATTTGGTATTTCTATAGTTGTAATTTATAATCTTTTTTCTATTTATATATTATTTTCTATTAATGTTTGCTTTTTCAGGAATAGCGGTGGCTAAAACGTATAATGTTGGCCCAAAGAAAAATGACAGATATGAAATACCATGTTCAGAAATTCATTTAATTGAGAAATTGGGACATGGAAACTTTAGTGAGGTTTACTATGGCAAATGGCGCAACATTGATGTGGCTGTAAAAGTCTTAGATGAAGAAAATACGTCAAGATACGCATTCTGGAGAGAAGCGGATATAATTAAAAAATTTCGTCATAATCGTTTAATTGCACTGTATGCAATGAGTTCACAGGTCAGCTATAGTTTATAATGTACAAAATGCAAGTTGTATTAATTTTCAGTGTGAAATCGTGAAGGAATCATAATGATTTTTTAAAGTGTGATGTTAAATCATTGCTGTATTATCAATGGGTTTCACAAATGTCATCAAAATATTATCGTTTCATATTTTTCAAGAAAAATAATATTTAAACTAAAATGGATATTAAATATATGGAAAATATAGACTAGGTATCTATTAGATTTCATTAATTGGTGGAAATTATAACATGGTTTGCTTAGATAGCGGTTAGAAAATATGTAAATACAGTCAAACTTCTATAACTCGAAATCCAATTTTGCAAAGAAAAGGTTCGACTTATGGAGACTTCAAGTTAGAGAATTTTTTTTTTATTTATTTTTGTTTTATTTTTGAAAGAAATTAGAATTATATTTTAAGATATTTATTTATTTATTTAAAATCAAATACAGCATAGAAGTTATAGTGAAGTAAAATAATTAGAAATTAGTGTTTGGGATTTTAATTCTTTTTTTATTTTCAGTAAAAAAAGATTCCAATTTTTTTCAAGCCTTATAGTGTAGTATCATTCAGTTGGAGTATCATTCATTTGTAAATAAAAATTCAGAATTAAGAAGGAGTCTTCTACTTCATCCTTGGAAGGCTGATGAACACTTACATCCACCGAACCCTCATAATCACTTTCCGTTGCGCTTAGAATTGGATTCAGTAATTTAGAGCTATAGTGCTCAATAATATCGGCATCTGCAGGAAAGCTTGATGTACAAATTTCATTGTCAAGCTTAATATAATCGTTAAGAGAAGCATTTAAAGTTATTTTATTTACTTTAAGCCACGACGCCAGCGACTGGCAGTTGCACAAAAAAACAACTTAAGAAAGAAAAAATTTAACATTTGGTTTGAAAAAAGGGACTTCCCTTAACAGCAAAATGCATTTATGTATACTTAAACCAACAACAATTCGACTTATAGAATGCACTTTCCCATATTCTTATCGGCACGGAACAAAATTTTTGTTAGAGTCATAAAAAAATTCAAGTTATAAGTTTGAGTTATGGAAGCAGAATTGTATGTAATTAGTTCTCTAAAACCTTGGTACACCTTTTTTGGTTAAAATTATAGAAAATTCAAGTTATAGAAGTTCGAGTTATGGAAGTTTGACTGTATATGTATATAAGAGAACTGTACCGAATCATAATTTTCATACTTAGAATACACTCATAAAAACCAAAATATTTTTTCATGCCCTAATTATAATCATTTAATCACTGATTCATTAGCCGGTGCTAATGAGTCAGTGTAATAAGAGTGCGTACAATTTTCTAAGTAGAGTAGCATACATACCAGCTGAGTCATAGCATATACTCGAGTAGTATGAATCAATGAGTATACTCACGGAAAATGAATGACTACCGCTTCGATCAGTTTTGGTACTTGTAAAAAATTTGTGAGACCGCTGTTGTTTGCTAAGCAAGCATATTGTTTGTCTTCTTGAATATTATATGTGCATTAAATTAGAAATTTTTTTAATTGGAAATTATATGCACAGTGACAATAGTTGAAAAATTTTCGCCGATTTCGACGAAATACTCATGAATGATACATAAATTTTTATGTCAAGTGTGAGTGTTAATGATTATCGTATGAGAAGAGTATAAATCATTATAAGTCCTGTAAGCTGGTTGTATGAATCAGGTGAAGTCGAGTATACAAAAAATAGGGTTGGAATGGGTACAAGTGACATATAGGCAATGATTTGAGTATAACTCAACTATTAAGTACTCATTGAAGTTCTCTAATACAAATGACGTTGTTGTTTAGTTTTTGTTGAATCTGTTCCTCTGAAATAAATATTCTATACGTTTTCGTTTTGTATTGTTTTCAATTGTTTCTTTACATAATTGATCAGTCATCAGTGATCTTTATAAATAACTCATTTGTTTTTGAAGTATTTTGATTTTGTCCTTTTGTGGGAACTAATGCACTCATTCTAATTTCGTTCTAACAAATTGTACATTTTCATTTCACATTTGTTATAGCATAAACGTTATATCATTTATAAAAAAAACCGGTTTTTTTAAAAATATTTTATTTTTTTTAATACAGATTGGTCCAATTTACATTGTGCAAGAATACATGCCCAAAGGCAACTTATTAAATTTTTTAAGTAAAGGCGCAGGTCGTTACTTATACTTCGAGGATCTTATTGACATAGCAATACAAATAGCATCTGGTATGGAGTATTTAGAATACAAACAGTTGGTACATGGTAATCTGGCAGCACGTAACGTTCTAATGGGTGAAAATAATATAGTCAAAATTTGTGATTTCGGTTTGGCACGTGCTATAACTGACAATAACTATTGTCCAAAAAAAGATCCACGTTTTCCTGTTAAATGGACTGCTCTAGAAGCCATAATGTTTAATTTATATTCTATTAAATCTGATATTTGGTCGTATGGTGTAGTATTAATGGAAATTTTTACATATGGGCAAGAGCCATATCCTGATATGGATAATGGTCAAGTTATAGATTTTATAGAACGTGGACTACGTATACCAATGCCAACAAATCATTTCATGCCTGTTCAGTTATATCATTTATTGTTACAATGCTGGGATATTACGCTAGATAAACGACCAACTTTTAAATTTCTGAACCATTTCTTCGAAACGTTATCTTAAACATTGTATTTAGAGATGCTTTACTAAATAAAATTGCCATAATAGTTTAGGCACAAAAGTTTATAATTACAACTTTTAAATAAATTTAAAATTAAAAATATTATATAAGAAATAAACAGAATATTTAAAGATAAGTTTATAAATTATGTGTAATTAATACAATACTAAAATTTTATGTCGCAATTAATGTAAATATATTAACTGAAGTTTCAATATATGCTCGTTAAGCTAAGCTTTGTTTTATATATAGCGGATTGAACGCGCATTTTTATGTATTTATTTATTTGTGAGTTAACACATAAAATTAATATTTTGAGTTTATGCATACATCACATCTATACTTATTTATTGATTAAAATGTTGTAATATCAGTAATAAAAATGTCTTATAATAAAAGTATTTTTCTTTTAATAATTTTAAAAATTCATAAAATTTTCTCATTATATTAAATATGTTTAGGAAGTGAGACCCATCTTCCTAACATATGAAAAGCAAAATTGATTTTTTTACTGGAGATCCTGATTTAGCAATCAATTCTGCTAATAAAAGTTTCATTTAATGCCGTTTCTATTAGAAATGATATAAATTTACAAGCACTTTGGAGATGACGAGCTAAGATCATTTTTCAGTAGCGTTGGTATGCAAAATTCACCACATACAATGCCTAAGTCTTTCACAATCCCACAACGCTGAAATATGATATTGCGTCGAACACTGGTTTACATTGTTGTGTTTGGTAAACGAAACCAAATTTTGCTTGTTTTTCATATAAATAAGGTATTACACGCAGATTGACCACTTAATTTGATAAATATAGTGAATATTTGAATATATTTACATATATTCTCTAGAATTGCCTTCTTCAGTTTAGACTACTTTTGATCACATAAAGCATATGCAAAGTTTAAATCTGTATGAACAAATTATAATTTCAGTTATTTGAGCCTTGATCATATTCTCTCTAACTTTTTTTTTAAATATTTTTTTTTATAAAAAAGTGATTACATCTAAACCAGAGAACTGCAACCAGTCATAATTTTAATACTCAAAGTACACTCATAAAAACTATGTATGAATGCGTATAAATTTTTTTCTCATACGCCACCATGTTCGCCATAGAAATGACTCATAAGTCTTTTCGGTAACAAGTGCCGGTGGTAATGTATTAGCGACATAAATATGCGTACACTTTTCTAAATAGAGTAGCATATATAGCTAAAAGAGAGAAAAGTCCTCTACGAGTTGGCAACTAGTATCGCATACGAATGAATCATGAGCTGTATGAGCTTTATCACGACATTGATATAATTTAGCGAATTAACATCGTGAGAATGGATGAAGATGCTCCAGAGAAAAAGGTGTAGTTGGCAGAAGAAGACGTAGAGGCAGACCGTGTCTCCGGTAGAGTGATCAAGTTGAGGGAGCACTAAGTGGAGTTGATGTACTTGATTGGAGAAGGCGCACACGAGGGCGGAAACTCGGTAACGAGTTGTTATGGCCAAATAAGTAAGTAAGCATAAATAGCAGATAAGTTATAAGTCATAGTATATACTCGAGTAGTATGAATCAATGGATATACTCGTCAAAAACGATTCGATCAGTTTTGGCATTCGTAGAAATATTATGTGAGCGCGAGTATAATTCGAGTATATCTCGAGTGTTGAGTACTTATTGAAGTCCTTTGATTTAGACATATTAAAAAAGCAAAGAAATGGAAAATAAACACGTTTTAGTTGCTTCTGAAAAACGTTCATAAACTTCTAAAACACAAATATTCTACTTCACAAGAGTACGATATCAACGCCTGAGTTCCTCAGGGTAGTGTCCTTGGGCCTTTTCTATACTTAATCTACACAGCTGATATTCCATAATACCCAAACAAATTAATGACGACGTTCGCTAACGACACTGCTATAGTCAGTACCGACCGTGACTGGACTATGGCATCACAAAATCTATGCATCTTGCTTTAATTGAAGAGTGGGTTGCTAAATGGAGCATTAAGTTACAAGAAACTAAATGCGTTCAAGTAACTTTTACTTTAAGGGGAGAAATATGCCCGGCAGTAAAAATCAATAATGTAGACATTGCTCAATCACATTTTGTGAAATATCTGAAAATTCATCTAGATAGAAGGCTCACGTGAACAAGTCATATTGAAGCCAAAAGACTCCAATTAAATCTTAAATATAAAGAATTGTACGGGTTTTTAAATCTCAACTCTAAACTCATTCTTGATAACATAATATTAATTTATAAATTAATTTTAAAGCCAATTTGGAACTATCGTATAGAACTGTGGTGTTCACTATGTAACACAAATATAGAAAAAAATCCAGAGTACAAATTAAAATTCTCTGACAAGCTACGTGTGCTCCATGGTATGTCAAAAACAAAAACCTTCACAAAGATCTAAATCTACTAACTGGTAAAGAAGTTATTCGCCAATATACATCTAAATTTCTAGAGAGACTCCAGTCGTATCTAAATTCTCATGCTCAACATATATTTTCTGCAACTGCACTAAATCGCCTTAAAAGAAAATCATTAATAAATATGAATATTCTAGTTTAGTAGCATACATGATAATTTTTAAGATTCACAAAATTATTGTCAATTTCTATTTAGAATGATTGAATAAATAATCGAATGAATAAAAAAAAAGTCAATGAAAATCAATGATGTTTAAAAAAAAAAGAAGCTTCGAAAACTGTTAGGACCATAGTATCCAGATAATTGTTGAACGACATGTCAAAAATAAAGTGAGGCAGTATGTTTACGAACGTCGGCGAGTAAAGTTGTGCACACAAGTATTGCTATTGCTTGTATACTTTTTATTGTATTGCAATTTATTCTAATACACATATATCAAACTTAAACTAACGTCGTGTTTATTTTTGACAAATCAGAAGTGGGATACAAATCCAAAAGCGAATTGAAAAACACAGTATAAGTGCATACTCGCCGGTAGACAGAAAGTGGTCGCCAGACAGACGACAAACGGTTAAACGGTAGTAAGAAAAAAAAAACATGCACGCACGCATGCTTTAACGAGAATCAACGGCGTCGGGATTCTAAGGAAAAAAAAAAAGTAATAAATAACATGCACGTACGCATGCTTTAAAGAAATTAATATTCGTAAAAGGAAAAAGTAAACAACATAGGGGAGTTTTGTTCAAACAGCCAAACGGAGCGGTTGCGGTGAATTAAACAATGTTAAAAAAATTGAAGGAGTTAAGCATAAAAGATCTTAACGTGATCTTAAATGCAAATGGGATTCAAGCAGTAGGCAGTAAGCAATCTAAAATTGCGGAAATAGAAAAGGTGTTAGGTAGTGACGAAATCAACACCGAACACTACGACCTTGATAAATCGGAAGAAAACGTAAGCATGTCAAAGCAGTTGGAAGAGCTAAAAGACATAGTGATGAATTTAACCCAAGCGGTGCACGCAATGACTATGCAACAGCCAGAGCAGGTCACGCAACGACAGGAAAGTTTGGCTGAGGCAGCAGTGACGGGTGTGCGGACGGAGGCAATAAGTTCACCAGTATCAACAGCAATCACAAGGGCAGATACAGTACAAGGTAACTCAATTGTTAAAGATGTTGTAGGAGTACTGCCTGAGTTTGATCCGATCAAAGGTTGCATAACGTCTGAACAATTTATAACAAAAATCGAACAGCTTCAACGAGCATATTGCTGGAAAGATGAAATAATTTTGTTTGCGGCTCAGCATAAAATGAAGGGTGTAGCAAAGGAATGGCTGGATGCGCAACCAGTGTTTGAAACTTGGCAGGAGTTTGTACGGGCGTTAACCCAGGATTTTCCAAGCTTAATAAATTCGGCAGATGCGCACAGAGAGATGATGCGACACAAGCGTAAATATAACGAAACGCTTACCGAATATTTTTATAGCATGTTAGCTATGGGACGGAGAGCGAATATGGACGAGCCATCTATAAATTCGTATATAATAAATGGGCTAAATCAACCGGAGTCTACAAGAGCATTGTTAGCAATAAATGTGCGTTCATGCTCAGAACTTCTTCAGTCGATACAAAATATGAAGTCAGCCCAAAGTGTTCCACAGCATTTTAATTTTCCAACGGCAAAGTCAACAGACATTAACTACAATAATGAAATAGCAAAGGGACCGAAGTGCTATAATTGCAATCAGATGGGGCACATTACAATCAAATGTACGGCTCCACAACGAAAATTACGTTGCACGAAGTGTTTAAAGATAGGCCATGAAGAAAAGAATTGCAAGGCAAAAGGTTCATCTATATCACAAGTTTACGAAGAAAAAACAAACGCGTACCCTCCCATCCTGAGAAAAATTAAAATTGGGTCTTCTGAACTGTTAGCATTTGTAGACACTGGGAGCGATAACACTTTAATTAAAGATTCTTCTGTTCCGAAAGATGTAAGTAGACAACTATCGGTGAAGAGGTTGCAAGGATTTGGTGGTGCAGTTGTAGAATCACGGGAACGTATTTTAACAAAAGTCGAGTATGAGGGCAAACAGCTGTTTACATCTATTCAAGTGGTTCCTGATGAATTCCTCATGTATCCAGTTCTCCTAGGTAGAGATGTCATCAGCCATAACAATAATCTGATAAAAACTGAAACTGAAACACAAGTAGGTGTATCAGTTAATCGACAACATTTTGATATAAGCGCTGATATCAACGGTACACAGCGCAAGCAGGTGAGTGCCTTACTAAAACAATTTGAAAGTTGTTTTGCCGAAGATCTTTCCAATATTGGCAGATGTAAGACGGCAGAAATGAAGATCGAAGCATCATTTACGAAACCGATTTTGGGTAAACGGTATCAAGTGCCTTTTTCCCAAAGAAGTACGCTACGCTCAATTCTCGATGATCTTTTAAAAAACAACATAATTCAACGCAGTACATTACCACACGCAGCATCGGCGTTATTAGTACCCAAGGCAAACGGGGAAAATCGATTATGTATTGATTATAGTGCATTAAATGCAGTGACGGTTAAGAAACAATATCCAATGCCTATAGTGGAAGAGCAATTAGCTAAACTGGCAGGAAACAAATATTTTA